GAGAGCATTTATTGGACTAGGCCGCCTAGCAAACCTCAGGCGCATGCCTACCATTGGCCTCCCAGCGCCATAAATCTCTACCGGTGGCAGTGTCTCAGCGCTTTTCCTTCTCTTTTCACACTTCCCACAAGACGGGATACGCTTTCACAACCATCGCGCTCGCGCTCTCGTTGTGTTTCCTCCATCATCCATGACTATTCTCATCATTCCAGAACTGATACGACTGTCTCAGATGTCGAGCAATCAAGTTACTAGGAATGGATTGTTGGTCACATCAGGATTCTACTAATATTTATCTTGGTCATTCCAACCGCAACGACCCTCCAATTGCCCTGGGCTGCCGAGAAACTTAGGAACCACATTGGAAACGGCGAACACGTCAGACAGGAACACTCCTTCGAAGATTATAAAGCATCTGAAATGGCCGCCCGTGCTGAAACTCTTGTTCTTACTCTCCCTTTTCCCTTCTCCCGGATGCCAGCCACGGCTATCGGACCCGCAGCGACTAATACTCGGGGGGTTTTGCTCGGACTGTGGGGGTTTGCTGGCGTTAAGGGCGGATTCGAATAATTCCGACCAATATACGGGAGTGATGAGTTGGACTATATGCAATGCAAGCGCTTCCGGATGTGCTGAGGTGTGGCAGGGCGTTTGGGGTCACGAAGCATGGGATATGCATGCACGTCATCTCATTGTCTCCCAGGTTACGGCCACAGCATCTAGCACTACGTTGCACCACCTTGCACGACCCTCCCGAGCCCATCAAGAACAAGAAAGGCATGGCATGGCGAGCTAGATGCAGTAGCTGTCCCGAACGAGTACAGGTTGGTGAAGTGTCGGGGTTTGGTGCAGGAACAAGTGTTTCCGATGCAGCGTCGAGCTACCTTATCAGGCTAGCCGCTATCAGTTGCCGGTATGCCCTAGTGGGTATAGCCGAGGCGGCCCCGAACAGCCACCCGAATGGTCTTACTCAGTTGGAACCTACATGCACCGGCACATCAATATACTGGATAAAGACATTGGATATCGTTCCATGACGGAATAACGATGTATGCAACTCATCCGAACTTGGATGCCAGCCTGGCTACTGGAGCAAGGTGAGCAAGGACCATCAAACCGGACACCACGGTGAGGGACAAGCCACTGGCATACAAGCCACTGGCCGTCTAGCCACGATGCAACTGGTATGGGCAAGAGGGCCTTGAAGAAAGCCAGGGACCTGCGGCAGCACCCTTCAGAGAGGATGCCTTCCCAGTCCAAGGTGAATGACAAGCGGGCCAGATGTTCTTCAAGCCTTCCAACAAGCACATCCAGCTTCGGACAGTCTCTTCACTTCTATGGAGGAGCGATCACAGGAAGACTCCTGAGGCCTGACAGAGGCTCAGGATGGTTGATCCTGTGCAATGAATCCTCTACTTCAAATGAGGTTTGCGCTGTGCCAATGTCGGACTGATGGGGGACGCACGAATTGGTCCTCGTCAGCCCCGGTCGACCCCCCCCTACCCCCTTGGTGCACTAACCCACCGGCAGTGGAAAGGAACCCACTGGACAAGCCCCCACTGTTTGGGTCATCGCTCTCTCTGAGCAAAGAGCTTCAAAATTCGCCTTTGACACGAGCAGAACGCGCGCATTGCTGACTGGATTCGGGTGACGCGTTACTTCTGCCACGCTTGGACAAACAGCTCGCGTCTAGAGGAGGACCCATGCATGGCGTCCGCTGTTCAGCATGTTGCTAATGGCTTTTGATGAGGAACGTCTAGGTCTGATGCAGTGGGCAAAAAATTTCGGGGTGTACGCCGGTGAACAATCCAGTAACACTCGCTACTGCTGCAGCCAGCCTCACCTTTGCACTGCCAACTTATCTCATTCGCAGAGATTCTATTGACATCTGCACAGCATTAGGGCTTTCTAACCCGTTCTGAAATATGGTCTGTTGATGCATTTTGCTCGGGGGTGCCGCCCACAGACTGCTATCCGTCTCCTTTTCTCCCTCCGCCGCCGCCGCCTGGGTTCGGCTTCCATATCCTGATTTTGCGGGGTCTCTCATCACGAAGCTGCAAAATACAACAACGCGGACCTAGACACTAAAATGGGCAACACTCAGAGCTTCGAGTATTACCTTCTGTCGAAGTTTTCGTCTTTATTTGCTAATTTACCGTTTTTTAGATACGGCGAGGAGATTTGGGCATGTAATACGCTGAAAACAGACAAGGACAGAAAGAAACGGAGACGGGATAGACAAAAACAGGAAGAGAAGCGGAGAGAAGAGGAAGAGAAGCAGAAAAAACAGGACGAGCGTGAGCGCAAGTGATGGAGCAGTCCATTTCGACGAGGTTTCATCATTTGCACCTCCCTTTTCCTGGCAACGGTCCCCGAAGACGACACCGAAACACGTCTCGCGTCTCTTTGCGTTGGAGCACGATCGACACGGCATAGACACGGGTATGGTATACTTGCAGCATGGCGAACGGTTTGGGTCAGGTATCATTGTTCCGGCTACACAGGTTTGTAGCAAGTCAAGGATGCTTGCTATCTGAAGAGTCAGTTGCATAAAATCTTTCTATTAGAGCACATCACCCTTTCATACACGAACGAGCCATGTCCCGATGCTATTGTATCCCCGAGCAACATCCATCACAAAAGAGCAGCCCTCTATCTCTCTGGATCCCGAGGTCATTTTTGGTGTCCTTTCCGAGGATTATGCCTTTGTCTGAGCCCACTGCTATCCATCATATCACACGAACCGAAGATGATGCGGGTCGTCTCTTCGTAACGATCGACTAGCGAAGCTTTTGACACGAGGTCGCCGTCCCAACTCGGCCTTCGCTTGTCGCCACAAAATATCTCCTTCATTGTTGATCACCTAGGCATAGCATCCTCTGCTGGTCCTATGAGGCCGTTTCAGACATATGTGGTCGTAGTGGATGTACCCCATAATCTTTCTAGTGTGATTCTAATGTGCTAATTGTTGGCTTGTTGGTGGTCTATGCATGTTTCTCGAGGATAGTACCCCTAATCCGTCGAGATGAAGATCTCGGAGTATTTCCATGCAGTCACGAAATCGTCCTTGGAGTTTGGGCTTCCAACGACTACCATATCTGCCATTGTTCATGCCTGTGCTACTGATGGCACTCATTGACTCTCCAAAACCTCGTCTGACGATGCAGTGTAAAGACTAAACTTTGACCGGGCATCTGTAAATAGTTTCGAGCTAAGGAGCTGGCTTTAACCAATCACTTCATATATCAACAATCCCCACAGACTTCAACCATATATAATGAACTACCTAATGCGTTTAGCTAGGTAGCTCCTAAGATCTTGTAGGTGGTCAGCTAAGCTTCAGGAGAGTCCTGTACACCTTGTGTAAATGAGGGTATCTTTTAACATGAGGCTTGTAACATCAGATTAACACTCTGTATATCATTACTTGATATGTTTGAAAGACTCGCTGTTGCATCTCTCACTTCTTGCATCGATAAACGTTGGCTGTTTTTTATTGTGTGACGTCGAAGTCCTAGGCCCATACTCAGGGGATGGCCACAGATCTCCGTCTCCCCCACATATCAGGTTAGCGTATCTCTTGTCGCTTAAGTAACTCAACCTTCACCACCTAAATAGTTATCACGCACGTTCCCATGAACTTCGACTCCAGGAGAATAGGCATGATGGACCCCAAACCATTAAAAAAAACCAGCGGAATTTGACTGAGCGTGTCAAATCATGTCAGAGGAGCTCATCGACGAAGTTGAGGTTATCAACTCTATATACGGCGATGGGAGTCTTGTACGGACCTCTGAAGAGACAGGTGACTACATTCTCAGTCTCCCAGATGAAGGCGTCTCTCTCCGTCTTCAATTCCCCAGGGAGTACCCTGCCGTTCCTCCAGCTGTTGTCGGCACTAATAGCTCCGGCGAGCATGGCAGACGCGGTCAAGCGGCCCGCGATCTTTCTCTCTTTCGAGATGCATTAGGCAATGTCTACCAGCCCGGCGAGGTCTGTCTTTTCGATGCCGTTGAAGAATTTAAGAGGCTTTTGGAGGAGAATGCACCCGCGGAAGACATTCAGGGGTCAGTCGATACTCCTGAAGGAGACGAGAGCGGAAGAGAGAGCATTCATGTTTCGCATTTTACAGGAGACAGTCTTGGTCCGGAGCCACCATGGACTCTCTCGGATCCCATCATCGAGATGAAATCGACGTTTATTGCACGCAGTGCTCGTGTCACATCTCCCACCCAGGCTGCGCAATATGTTCAGCACTTATTGGCCTCGGACAAGCGTGTGAGATCGGCCACACATAACATTACCGCGTGGCGGATTAAGGGACCAAATAATACGTCCTTTCAAGACTGCGATGACGATGGCGAGACGGCTGCCGGTGGCCGCATCTTACACTTGATGCAACTGATGGACCTATGGGATGTTATGGTAATCGTAACGAGATGGTATGGTGGTCAGAAACTCGGGCCACGTCGGTTCGCAGTAATAAATAATGTCGCCAGAGACGCTTTCATCAAAGCAGGGCTGGTGGAGGAGGGCGCAAAGAAGAAGGGTCATGGAAAATGACCAGGGATCCACGTAACGTGCGAGCGACACTTCGGCATCGGCTCCTTCTCGGGCACTCATTTTTCTTACGGCAGTCACGAGCGAGGACGTTTTACACAATCTTGAGATTATCAACTCCGCTTAATTTCTTTGTGCTCGTTTCAACCAGACAGTGCATGTCTCGGTCGACAGCAACTCGAGCAATCCTAATTACACAGGATCGCCAGAACTTTTGTGCAGATAACTGCCCTCATTCCAAACAGGAAATGCCAAATCAAATAGCCACCGTCCTGAGTCTATGCCATCCGGTACATACAGAGAAGAGAGTTCTTTATGGGTGGTCCAAACCGCCACCACACCTGAGCCCATTGGATATATAACAATGCCAGAATAACCAGGGAGGAGTCGGAAAGAAAGTGAAGTGAAGGGAAGGAGACAAGCTTCTCTCAGTTGTTGGGTCATGCCTCCTTAGCAAGCAGAGGCTTAAGGATTTCGAGGGCCTGGTTTGCCTTCTCGGAAGATAGGATGACGGCTCCAGCACGTGCTGTGGACAAATAGGACAGCTCCGCGCTTTCCATCTCTCGCATCTCCTGCACAAGCTTGCCAGCCACTCCGGACACTATACCGGTCGCTTCAAACGGCAGGTTGACAAGATCAAGGAAGATCGGGACAAGATCAGCATCCGTATCCCCTATAAGCGAATCACCGAACATGTTGAGCAATGTCTTGTCGACCAGCAGCGAGGGAGGGTCATCCTCTGTCAAAGTAATAGATAGGAACCTTGGCTGGGATACCAGAGCTGCGACTAGACACGTATAGAGCCGCGTATCAATCTTGTCGAACCAGCTAATTCGATTGCCATTTCCTGTATTGGCCCTACTCAAGTGTGGTCGATGCGAATACCCACTCGAATTCTGAGGCTCCTCCCTACCCGAGCAGTGGATCAGATGGATGTCGTCGTCGATGTAAGGGGTGACGCTTCTTTTTCTGAGCAGGTCGAACACTCTCTTTTGCAATTCTGCAACATTCGACGGCGGAGGCGTTGAGGGCGGTTCGCTCGCCTGGCTTGGGCCTCTTGAATGTGACAGGGCACCGGGAGCTACATACGAACTTCCCTCTGAACATTCAAAACCTCTGGCAAGTAATGCCGCAACCACGCTCTGGCGATCCTTGGTTGGGACGAGTATGAAGTCGGAGTAGTAAGTGGTAATGAAGAAGATAGGGACGCCGGCGAGTGCTAGGGGAGACGTCAAATCCACGACTCGTGACCCGGCGTCAACACCGGCGCTGAAAACACACAGAACCACGTACGAGTCCTTCGAAACGGAAACGGACTTGGCCAAGTCTCGAGATAGTGATTTGATGACAGGGTCGAAAATGCTCTTCGCCCACGAATCAGAACACACTATTGAGACCTCGATAGGTGTAATACTGATGTTAAGAAAGCCATGCTTCTGCTCAAGAGTCAGGCTTTCGAGCTCAGCTTCTGGGGAGCTTGTACCTTGACTTGGAGGCAGAAGAACACGGAGTAAAGGTTGGAGGAACACCGAATACAGGTTGAGGGGTATGTGTATGAGACTGAGAGTTTCATTCTATTCGCCAAATGTCAGTAAGAAGCGGGCTGCATGGGTAGGCGCATCACAAGCACGGCAGCTCTCCGTTCAGTAGCCCATTCGTTCGCCGAGTGACGGAGGCAGGGGGCATGACCCCGCAACATGCTGCAACTCAAGACGCAGGCCCGGGTCCGACTGTACGGCACTGAGCGGAGCACCAAACAGATAGATGCGCCTCTGAAGACAATTGCTGGAACCTACCAAAAATTTTATTTCGGCTGTCATGTTGGCTATCTATGAGCTACTTAGGAGAGGTATGCTCCTCAAAAGCTACCGTCAGCCCTTGCACCCACAGACACGGCGAGTATAACAGTCGCTGTAGCTAGGAGTAAGACAGCTGCAGCGTCTCAGTAAGGAGCGGTCGGATAAGAGTGTGCTCAGTCGCTTGCTGCAGGACCCCGCGATTGGCTCGGAAATAGGGCTGGCCGCTTGGCTGCTAAGATCTTGCTGGTCAATTGCTTGCCCAAGACCATGGGATTTAAATGCCGAGAAATAGTAGATTTCGAGGTGGAAGGAGAGAAGAATGTTCGTGATCGGGATGTGGAGTTGAGTTCTCTGAAAGAGAAGAGAGTTCAAGTTGACGGGAAGGATAGCAGGACGTGTTAGGATAGCCTTTGCTTTTTCTTTGGTTATTATCGGTCAGCGCCGCGGCGGCAACAAAGCAGTGGTCCACGAGAGTCTTGTATGAAGCAGGTCGACAAGCATCAAGGAGACATGGCCGGACGATGTGGAGGTGTTAGTTGAACGGTATGTCAACCCGTTCCATGAAGCCCTCGGTGCTTCATCCGGTTTTCTGATCTTGCAATAGCGTAGCGTAGTGTAGTGTAGTGTTCGGCTCGTCCAGACTGCAGGCAAGGCTCGAGGGGGAATGCGATGCAGGCAAGCAGGCAAGCAAACACAATCCTGCACGACACCAGAAAGAGGACCCCGTCAGCAGCAATGTGCAAACGGAATTGGTCTCGAGGCCACAGCACTTCTTATCGACTCGACAAGGCACGAAGTGAGGGATGAGGTAGAATTGACCGACAACGGCACCAGCAGGGACGGCGGTAGCGCAGAGTAATATAACAAGCTCCCTCACAGACACAGACTTGGACACACACACACACACACACACTACCTCATTAGCTAGCTACCTACCTAACTACCTACCTCACAGCGGCCTTACCTTTCCTAGGTAGCCTCGTTAAGTACTGGACGGCCGGCCGAGCGAACAGTGGTGTTTGCCGCCAAGAAGGCAACCAAAACGGAGAGCCGAGCTAAGATTGTTTTCGGCCTTACTTGCAGCAAGTCCTTGCAGGTGGTGCCGGTGGTGCAGGTGGTGGGGACGAAAAAACGTGGGGGGCTTTTAGCGGGCTGCTACTGGCCTTTCCCATGGCGTCTGCGCTGAGACTGCCGCTGAAGCCCAGCCTCTCAACCCACTGCACATTGGTGTGTCTTGCACCTAGGTGAGATGTTCACGCCTCTCTCCGAGTACGTGTCTCATCTGTTCTGGCCGTCATCACCAGCGTCCTCGGCCGTTAGGGGGAAAGAGTATTGCAGCACTACGGGCCTCACCGAGGAGGGAAACATGGTGATGGAGCCAGACAAGTCAGTCGGGAGGGAATGCATTGACAGCTGGCTGGTTTTAGGCGCGCAGCCATGCCATGGACAAGACGAGGCGTCGAGTCAAGACCAGGACGACGATGCAGGCACACATTCTGGACCGCGAGCACACTGCCTGTGTCACCCAACCTGCCGCTGGAGATGATGCACCCTTGCTCTCCTTTGCTGGTCACATAGCACGTCCAGTATCTAGTGCTCCCCTGCGCGTGCGAGTGTTCTGGGCTGCTGTTGTCATCATGATCAATCCTCATCACCAACCGTTTCCACCCCGCATCTCATCCACACATCCACACCCCCCTTTTTTGTCCCCTCTCCCCCCATTCACATCTCACCACGCTTGGCTATACACACAAGGCACCTCCTGCCTGGCCTGGGCCTGGGCTGGACGACCGATGCGTTCGGCTGCCGTGTGACGGTCGATCTGGCCGCATCCGAGCCGTCAGGCCGTCCGTAGAGAGACACATCAGCGTGCCTGGAGTGCTGTCCCTCAAGGCTCGGTGTGCGTGGCTTACTGACAACTAAGCCTGCCGTGATGCACTCCGTCTCTCACGAGAACGGAAGCCGCCGCCAAGTGCAAATGGTGACGTTAACTCTGACGGGACAGGCCTGCAGACATCCCGCATCGTCGACACCTTCCAGCCGCTCCACGGCTACCCGAGTATACCTGACATATAGAGGATCTTGTTATGCCTCGAGTTTCTATATGCTAACGGCAGGAAACTTGGTTCGCCGTGGATGACGAGCAGAAAGCCTGGTAAGTCGTAGCCGTCCAGCAGGACATCCTGACTCGTGCAACTCCCGAGCCGTACGGACTGCCCGCTGGGATGACCGTCCCGGGATCCTCAAGGGGTCTCACGGCCACCACCGACTGGTTGGAGGTGGCACTGTACTTAGTGCAGAGGGGCAAGAGGGGTCGTCAAGCCCAAGCCCAAGAGGCCCGCAACTCCGGGACGACAGCATCCACTGCTCTAATTTAAGTCAATTGAACGTATCTATCAAGCTTTATGTTTACATGTGTCACCGAAATGAGCACTCACTTCATCGCGCAGTGGTCGGAAATAGCAGAACAACCCCCAAGAAGATGACGAGAGACTCATCCCTCGGCACGGTCTGGTGACCTTCCTTCACACCTATGACGGGGATCGAGTGTATAACTGGGGGGTGGAGAATCATGGGCAGACCTTGATCAGCCGCAGAGTTTGTGGATCAAGACGGTTCTTACCACCTCGCTGAGCAACGCTGCAGCTGCGTCTCGATCTTGCGATCCTTTCTCGTTATCCGATCTGTCGTTCTGGAGAGCCGGCCAAAGCCCGAAGGGAACATGAGAACTGATATCGGATAGGTCTAGACTTGTGCCCCGCTTCAGGGCTCTTCTATTGCAGAAACAGCTGCAGGACCCGGGCCAGATTCAGGATGAGCTTCTTCTTAGCAAGCTGTATCTGGCTGTAAGCAATTTCTGGCTCCAGGGTTCAATTGGATTAGAAGGCTAGAGGAGGTAGGTATGGGGACCCTGCCAGTTCGCGGGTCCACTGCATGCATGACATCAACAGGCCTTTGAAGAGCCCAACTGGGGGCCACTAAAATAGTCATTGATACGAGTTATCAGTGTGGGCGACAATAGGGTAAGCCGAGGCGTCTTAGCCGCTGGAGGCGACGATAACCGTTGCGACACCGGGTAGCTAAATGAAGTTGATGGCAATAACAGCTTAGATCACGCCCCTTTCGGCACTGCATTCCCCCACGTCTATGGTCAGATGCCTCTGCGTTCCAGTAGCCTGGTTCTAAGATTCAAAGGGCAGAAATGATGTCATAGCAGCAGCGGCCCCTTTTTGGCCAGATTTCGGTTCATCACCACAGACGTCAAGCATCCATGTGTCCGGGTAATTTCTAAAGACAGCGGACAACTAGGGCACTAGTTCCCTATCTTGCTGGAGCCCTTGGCGTGAGATTTAAATGCCTCGACGGATGGACCGATGGGACCTCATCGCTTGATACCAACAACGACTAGATTGCGCGGGCTTTGCCGATAGTCAAAGACCGTCTCCACCCAGCAGTCGCGGACGATATCGCTCTGCTCGCGAAGATACAGCAAGCGATCCGTGACGATGAGGGACTCGACCACGCAGGCGCTGAACGCCATGAGGCTCCAGATTGCGCTCAGCTCTTTCTTCCGGGGGCGGTACTCTTGCTCGTAGCGCGCGATCTCCTCGTCCTGGATATTGCTCATCTTCTCTCTGATGACCTCGCTGTACTGCGAATAATCCGAGTGTGTCGTCAGCTTCTTGACTGCGCCCCGGACGTATGCGTTGAATGATGCATAACAGCTCTTGCCTAGGGAGCCAATGATGACGGGATTGGTGCTTGCGTTGAACGGACTCTCTTTCTCTGCCGCTTGTGATTCGGAGTCTGGGGTGTTGTGGTAGACTTTGCTGATAACTCCTCTATCGAGGAAGATCTTCTGAAGCACCGCCCGGTAGAAATGTCTTGTGAAAAAGTCATCACTTTCTTTGTCCGTCCAGTTCTGGGGTGCTTGACAAGCCATCATTCGAGCCGTAATATTGAAGCGGATGCCTCTCCCTTCGTGATTTGAGACCCGATCACTCATAGGGAAGCCCTGAGGATCGTATCGTTCGGATTCCCGCACAATTCTCCCATTGATGGCCTGCAGGCTTGGCCGCATGTATGGAAGTTTGTAAGTGGCCGGCCCCAGCTTCTCAGTCAGTAAGTTGTAGCAGCATCCTACGATTGCCACAGCTTTAATTGATGGATTCAAGATCATCGACCGGATGCCGAAGTGCGAGAGATTTCCACATGAGTGAATCGATATTGCCATCAGTCGAAGGTCCTTCTTCCGCTCTTCTGGGATGTCCTCATCCTCGATCTGGTTGAGAACACCAGTCAAGTCACCCGTTTCTAGTCGGCCAATGACATATTTAATAAAGCCTTTGCCTTCTTCCGGTCGGTAGATAGTCTTGAGCTCGCTTCGCGGTCTCAGATCTGCTGCTTGATATTGCTCTTCCGTCAGAGCCAGGGGCTTTGCCGCTCGCCTCTTGGCCTTCTCATCGAGCTCGTCGGGAGATTTCTGGCTGTCCAGATGCTGGAGCCAGGCCTTTTTGTTGCGGTTGACCTTCTCTAGCTTAGTGACCCCTGCGAGGATGTCCAGATCCTTGGCTCCGGCCGTGTTCGCTTCCTTGCTCTCAACAGCCACGACGTGTTTGTTGTAGGGAGCGCTCGCCAAGGTTCGCCCCAGGTAGTTCTGTCCACTCCCAAAGTCTATAAAGTGAGTCAATTCATCGCCGGAAACAGATGCAATGTCCTCGGCGAGACGGTCCACAAAATCTGCAAAGTTGACCACCTCATGGACCTTTTTAGGTTTCATTCCCATTGCTATATTCCGCGGTATTATGGGTAATTTTTGCTTAACCGGCGTAAAGGAGCGATTTAGAGAGTGCTTTCTTATATTCTTGACGTATTGAAGTAGACTCTCTGGAGGCTCGGGCCACGCCCGGTCTAGTGAATGATGCTCACTCAGGTCATCTCGCATGAGAAAATTCAGGAGCACCATTGGGTCGCATTCCAGCAAGAAGGACTGCCATTCTTCTGGGATGGCCCAGTAGAAGAGCCCTGGTTCATTGGTGAAGAAATCGAGAATGTGTACTCCGCCGCAGAGGATCTGGAAAACGTCTGTTGTTGATGCAAATGATAGGAGAGAGTCCACGTATTCGTCTATAGACGCGAAGTCGTCTGAGATAGGTAGAGCTTTGTCTCTGCGCATTTTGCATGCTTCTATTTAGGCTTGCGAAAGTTTGAGGCTCATATAAATGAAGCTTTCTTTGGCATGTAAAAAAGAAGATATAACCAATGGGAAGGTATAATTGCCAGGGTTAGGGTTACGTAAGACTGACCAAGGAATTTTTCGGGCCCGATGTCTCCAGTCCGATAGCTTCGTGCTTTAGTGTTACAACATCATCCAAATCATTCAGCAGCAGCTTTCTGTCGTTTGAGGCATGCGAATTTTGTTGAGGTGAAGGAGGACGTCGAATCGCAAAGATGGTGTTCATTCTGGGTGTCAACTTCCACGAGAGGAAGCTGGTCAGGGTACGCGCCATCTCCTGTCCTTTTGTCATGACTACGAGTAGCTGACATCAAAATCTACAGAAAGCCCTCGAGTCCTTCTACGCACTCGGGCCACAGACGGCCGCCAGGATTCTGGCGAAGTACACCATTCATCCGCGCGCCAAGATCGGAACACTACCTCCCAAGACGGTGACGGCACTGACGGCAGAGCTGTCGACGATGACGATCGAGAACGATGCGCGCAAGCTCGTTCAGGACAACATCAAGAGGTTACGAGACATGGGCACATACCGCGGCAGGAGACACGCCATGGGTCTGCCGGTGCGAGGACAGAAGACACGAAACCAGATCTCGACGGCACGGAAGCTCAACCAGGTCGAGCGACGTGGATGAAATGTGACAGTGATGTTGCGTGTTTCTACAACGAAGAGGGCTCACCAATGGAGTCACCAGGCGAAGCTATGGCGGTCAGAGAAGAGCAATGGCATTTACAGACATCCTTGAGACAATAGATCTCGATCTCACTTGCGGACATGGCATATAGCCGTTTACTGTGTCCTACAATACGACACAGGGTCATAAGCTTTCCGCTTATCATGTAAACTTATGTATAAACCGGACAATACAATAAGATATCTCCAACATTTATGCTCTAGAGCCATTATTTGTGGTATATATATATAACCTGGATTTCTAACCGGCCATTTCTTACTTTTGTCAGTTAGTCCGCAATCTCGTCAAACTTGAGTGGCGGGAGATCATCTTCCAATGGTGGCTCGCCCTTTGCTTGCAGCTCTAAAGCAATCGCATCGACATCTTTCCAGACTCGAAGAAGGTTTCCGCCCACTACCTTAGCAGCGTCCTCATCACTCACGCCCCGTTTCAGTAGCTCGGCCACTAAGTCTGGGTACTTGGAGACGTCGTCCAGTCCATCAGGGGTGGTAGGAATACCATCAAAGTCACTGCCGAAGCCAACATAATCGAATCCGATCAGATTGCCGATGTGGATGACGTGGTCCGCAACGTGCTCGAGCGTCGAATTGGCCGGGTAGAAATCTGGCATGCCATTCTCATTATCAGACGCAACGCAAGAGACAAAGTCGGGCGCAAAGTTGACCATGACTAGCGACTTCCGTGCCTTGACAAGGCGCAACACGCTGTCCTTCACGTTTCGAGGGTGAGGGCAGAGACTCCATGCTGAGCTGTGACTGTAGATGACGGGTGCTTTGCTGCCCTCCCATGCACCTTCTGAGCCACCGAGCACGTCGATTTGAGTCTCGTCACTCGTGTGCGACAGGTCAACAATCATGCCGATGCGGTTCATCTCCTTGATGAGCTTGCGGCCGTCCGGGCTGACGCCGCCCCAGTACGAAGGAGCTTTACGGGTCGGTCCACCCCAGATTGCCGAATCGGCGTACTTGTTGGGGCAATTGTGTGTGAGTGTGGCATATCGCACACCGAGGGCGTAGTATGAGCGCAGGTTCGTAGCCGAGTTTCCGATTTGGTGAAGACCCTCGATGCCCAGGGGTGAGATCAGCTGCCCCTTCTTGAATGCGGCAAGGGCGTCGCTGCTGTTCACCATTGGCGAGAAAGTCTCCGGGTAAGCTTCCTTGAGCCGTGTAATCACGTCAATTTGATGCAGAGTATCCTGCACGACTTGAAACTTGTTAGCCACAACTTGAGCTAGGACCATGAAATATACATACTGGGAGCATATGTCTCATCCGAGAAGTCAGTGTTGTTTTCCGGACAACCCCAATATACGCTCCAAAATGCACCTCCATTCATGCCTTGCCTAAGCCGGGGGATATCAACATGACCTGGCGCTCCACCGTCTTTAAAGACCTTGGTGAAAGACTCATTGTAGATTTGGTTATGATACGCATATCGAATCATGATAGCCAGATCATTATGACCATCTGTATCGCAAAGTCAGAACTTAAAATCCTTCGTAGAACGGTACGGTCTTTGGCAGTTTACCTATCAGCGGCGTTTCTTTAAGTATGCTAGCGACACGCTCTTCAATTGTCCGCGTCTTGGATGAACCAGGAAGCTTTCCGGCAACATGGTGATAGCACTGCCTTGGGGCATCGAAGACCAGGCTGAATAGCAAAAGACTTATGAAGAAGGCCCCAATGAAGCTGTGCTTCCTCACAGTCGACCTCTGAGGGGGTTCATCCGCTGCCTCTAAGCGTTGGAATTTCTCATCGTCGAGAAAGCCAGTTGACTGCGATTGATAAGCGGCCATCCCGGAGACGTATTTACCTCTCCAAGTCGATGGTCCCGAGTCTCGGGTAATCAAGAAACTCTAGCCAACAGAGGCTTTCTCAACTGTTTCTTGATGACGATTGATATCTTCAATTAAACTAGTTGATCAATAACCGACAGCCAGTTTTTGAAAGTGTCGTTGCAAGCCTGCAAGTGAATCACGTCTTCCCAGCTCCTACTTCGTAGCTACCTTCCTATCTTTCCTATCACAGTCAAGCGAAGCACAGTGTGCGGCGCTCGACACAGTGGGCGATGCTTAGTCAAGTGTTTGCTATCGCTGCAACTACCCGCGACGGAAAGGACAAGATCGGACTGAAACACCAATTGCACGCTCGGTCGCCGTTTCATGTTTCAAAGGAGACAAGCTGATCCTGAGGCACTAAGCAAAGGACTCAAGTGCTGCGAGTACTGCGTAATAGCTCTTCAGCGGCCAGCCACACCAAAGCTCGTGTTCGCCCTTAGCTAAGACATGTAAGTATCAGGGGGCGTAGCTGCTACCATTAGCATCATCCCCGGCTGCCTCTTCACACGCTTATTAGGCGCCCGACCAATTAGCAGCGAGGACTCGTGGCGGCCGCTGGTCTCCACGAGCTTCACCATCTGCATTTCAGCTGCAGAAAGAAACTCCTCCAGCCTTGGCTTTCAGCGTTTCGTGTCTTCGTGGTACCTATCTCATTCTTCTGTGCGCCGCACGCCTCAACACTCTTTTACGTCCCTACGCCGTCATTTGAAGATCCAAGGCCGCCGCCCGCCGATTACATCACTGGCCTGGTCGTGCGCTCGTCATTGAGGTTCTTTTGAAAGTGCATCATCCTCACGAACTACGAAGCAAGTGAACCTCGGTGCTCCGACTTCTTCCCGAGCCCTCACGACAGACACATTCCTGCATTATTTATCGAACCGATCAAACGCCAGAGAGGAGGCATCGAACGAACCCCTGCCATTCAGAACGACCCGCGACTCGCCATGCCGAGCTTCGCAGATTCTTTCTGGTCAAATGACTACGCCGCAGGTAGGAAGAGCATATGGAGCATCTTGATATTTGGGTCTTGTAGCTGATACGGCTGTTCAGGACTTGGTGTCCTGTTCGGCAAGCTCCAGCAAGGAGTGATTGAGAATCGCCAGGTTCTGACGATCGCTCGGATGCGCGCTGAGGCTGAAGAGGTCTACGGTCAGCGCTTGGCAGATATTGCCCCTGCCGTTGATAAGATACAAGGTGGTTTTGCTCGCGATGATGGAGCCAGCGTGCGGAAGGTAAGGGCCGTTGGGAGAAGCCGAATCAATCCGCAGTCCAGCTAACTCGAGTCAAGGCTTATGATGGAGTCCGCACTGAGATGGAGGATGCGGCCAGGAACCACCGAAAGATCGCGCAGAATATCCGAGACTTAGTCGTCAACCCTTTCTCACGATGGTGCGAGGCTCACGAATCGCGTATACAAGACTCTCAAGATGAGCTGCAATCGAGGATCAAGGCGCACGATCGTCAAGCCGAAACGGTCAAGAAGCTACGCAGCAACTACTTCAACAAATGTCGTCTCGTTGAAGATATCGAGGAGGAGAATAAGCTCGCGTTCCAAGATCCAGAGACCAGTCCCAAGCCGAACATCCCTGAAATAAAGGTGTCGCAGACACAAACCAAGGAGGAAGAATACGACGATGACGAGCCTTACGAGATCGGCGACGAAACGTATCAAGCAGACCAGGTTAAGAAGATACTCGCGCACATGTTGAACAACATCAAGATGCAGGAAACCAAAGTAGCCATATTGGGCACCTACTTGAATACCTCTGCGGGCTCGGACATCGTCGAATACCTTCAGCGCCACATGGGAACCACTAGCGTCAGTTATGCCGAGAGAATCGGCCAGGACCTTATTACAAACGGTTTCTTGAGGCTTGTTGGCAATGTTGGCAATACGTTTGCAAATAGCTCTAGAATGTTTTACCAGTGGCGGCCTAAGGCTTTCCAAATGTCCGGCATCCCAGAGAAGAAACAGCCCCTTGGTAGGACGTTCTCTCTCCCCGCCTCAAATGCATCAGAAGCTGGCGATTCCCCGGTCGTGGGTACGGTCACTGAATACCTGGCAAACTGGAATGTTCTAAACAACCAGCATCCAAATGAAACGCCTTCACAACGCCTGCGACGTGAGGCTAGGGAATCAGATGAGAAGTACAAACAAAGCGTGCGCAAGCTGGACGAGATGCGCAGCGAGCTTGAAGAGGCAATTTTCGTTCATCTGAAATTTCTCGAGCGTTGCGAGCTTGATCGCCTCAAGGCAATCAAAACCGTCCTTCTTGATTTCTCGGGTACTATCAGCAATGTGATCCCCAGCTTCCAGGCAACGGTTGACAACATGATGTTGTTCCAAGAGACGATTCAACCTCTAGGCGACCTGCGATACCTTCTCGAGAATTACCGGACTGGTAGTTTCGCTCCCAAGGTTGTGGTGTACGAGAACTACTACAACAGAATTGATGAGCAGACTTTCGGCGTTGACTTAGAGGCTCGTGCAAGAGCAGATAAGAAGCGTGTCCCAATCATTGTGACGACAATCTTGACCTACCTTGATCATCATTATCCTGATCTTGAAGGCGATGAGGCCAGACGAGGAGTTTGGCTTGTCGACGTGCCATTGGCTCAAACACATAAGCTAAGGGCGAAGGTAAACGATGGGAAACCGGTCCCATCTGAAGTATTCTCCGAATTCGATGTTCCTACTGTTGCAAGCTTACTCAAACTATATCTTCTCGAACTTCCTGGTAAGCTGAAGCGTTATAAAATATCACAGCCATATTTGGGTACTGAATGATTTTAGATTCCTTGGTATCTTCTCATGTCTATGAGATTATCAGAACGATATATACAACTCCGACCGCAGATACCACAGACGCGGCTCGTGTCGCGGTTCTGCAGCAGACCTTGTCGCAACTGCGTCTCACTAACATTGCAACGCTTGATGCTTGCATGAACCACTTCACCAGACTGATTGATCTTACGTCTGCAGACGAAACATATGTCAGCGCTCTCGCAACTTCTCTAGCTCCTTGCGTACTTCGACCACGGACGGAGACATCACTTACTCTGGAGGAGAAACATGCTTATCGTCTGCTTCGAGATCTCCTTGCCCATAAAGATGCTATTTTCAGTGAGCTCAAGCGTATGTCTTCATTGAACCACTCGACGTCAGTTGGATCTACTCAACGGCCGCGAGCCATAAGCACGGATGAGAGCAACAGGAAAGCGCACATGGAAGAGCGTAACAGAGCTCTGTTGGAAAAGGCCACCGGTAGCCGAAGCAGGGCTACCTCGCCCGCCCCCAGCCCAAGGGGTACCGCACATCGTAGAGACAGGAGTATCGGTGGTCCAGAGACCAGATTCCCCATCTCGACTGGCAGCCCAACTGCGAACACCGAGCGTCATAGGATGAGCATGGGTCCGATCTTGGGTGTGAAGAGACAGAGCCTGGAGGTACCTGATGCACCTTCTCAAGCACAGACGGACGGGACGAATGGCGGAGTAACAGATGCTCCCCCATCAAAGGCCGATGTGCCGACTGAATCATTCGCTGAGAAGCGGAACAGCTTAGGTAGAAGTAGTGTGCGGTTCTCCGGAGGGCGACGCCTACCTGTCAATCCCTCTGGAGCGGCTCCGGAGAACAGCCACTCGCACGGCGTGACGCTTGTGGATGCGCCAATGGACGACTAGGCTTATGTCTGAAAACGAGGAACGGCGGAGTAATGGGGACTTTGTACCACATTCAATGTATAAACAGACGCGGCTACGAGCAAATTGATGGAACTGTATCTACGGACGGGCATAAAGCGTTTTATCAGGTGAACAAGGGAGGGAGGAAAAGCGACATATATCCATGATGTGCTTGGCGGTGGAAGAGAGCTTCGCAAAGTCAGCTCGGCACTCTAATGCTTTTAGAGTAATAATTCGAATTCGATCTATGCATACGTATACAGTGATGCTACGATATTGGTCGCTGTATTTTATGATCATCGTTTCCCTTGTTGCTTGGTAGTTTTGATACATTGTCTTGGTCATGATGTCTTGCCGCCATGGTGCCATGGTGGGTTTAGCACCTGTCCTCGTTGATTGGGCAGCGTCCACCATAACCGGGGCGGCGGCCTGCCCCTGAATTTGGTCGTCCACTCAGACCTTCAAGATTGACGCCGAAGCGCTACATGATACTCGGCAAAAGTATGCGCCCCGACTTAGTTATCGGCTGAGTATGAAGATGCAGACTGCTATTTTCTCAATCGCAGATATCCACATGTCAAATTTGTGCATCTGTCTTCCGGCTAATGGCCGTGATCTGCCTGATCCTCGCCTTGCGCATCTCCTGGCGCTTGACAATGGAGGCTGCTATTGGAGGGCGTTCTCGGCGGCGCTCTTGGTCATTGACCTCTCAGCCCTTATTCTTAGAATTTGTATAAGTGGCGATGGGCCCCAAGGTCGCGAAGCGCTGCATGTTGGTTCCAGGTCTGTAGTTACCGCCTAGAGATGCGTTAGATGCAAGCGGCCTACTGCCCCGTGGCCAGACCGCAGCAGTTAGTGCTGCATTTTAGGCTCTTGAATTGATATCTATGGCTCGATTCCAGGTTTGGGCGTCCGCATGGCCAGACGTCTCTCATTTCTTCATTCTCATTCGTACTCGTTGTTCATTAGTTGGCTTAATGTATTCTCATGCTTCAAACTTGAACAAGATAGAGCCTCAGGCCGTTGAATCTAACTCTCTCGATTCGTCGTCAACAGCGAATGGGACAGCAGTCTTTTTTTGGTGGCCGTGATCCGCAATGGGCAGAGGGAAGACAAAGGATGTCCGGCAAGGTCTAGTCAAGGTGGAGGGGTGGAAACCGTATACTATGAGAGGCCCAATACTAATCACATTCATGGCCGTTTCTCTATGTTTGGCAGGAACTATCGAGTTCTTCGCCCAAAGAAGCGAACGAAACGGAGGCCTGGCCTTATCTACCTCGGCAGACGACATACCGAGATCAGTGACCATTACATACCTGTACTTGCCTACCACGATCTCAGTCATTTACAGTATCGCTTGGACTTGGATTGATCTTGATATAAGGAGGATTCAACCATGGCTGGAGTTATCTCGTGAAGAAGGAGCTACAGCCGAAGCATCCATTCTTGTCGATTATCCATTTGAATTCCTTGCCTTTGTCCCTTTCAAAGCCTGGAAACGAAAACATTGGCCTGTGTTCTATGCGGGTTTGATCATGATGGTTATCTTCTGGGCTATAACACCTCTGCAGACGGCTGTATTTGGAATCCAAGCTGTGGTCTTGAATCGTTCGACTTTAATGCAGACGAGGGCAGGATTGTTGCCAATGGAGGAGCAGGCGGCAGCCATCAGCGAATCCATTCTAAATGATGCTTACGGTGTTACTTGGTTGGGGCAGGACTTCCCCGAATATACGACGTCGGAATACGCAGTCGTTCCATTTTCACCGGCAGACACTGTCTCACTTTCGCCAAACGAAACTTGGACAGGCAATACCACGAAGCTCACCACGGACTTGACTTGCTGGCCTGCCTTAGTGAATAATTCAGAATCTTTCGGAACCTTCGACTTTGACAATGGCAGGGGTTGCAAGGCAGAAATCTCCATGTCCTACTCCAATACACTGAATCTTTCATACATCCATGGAGTCCAGTATATTGGATATCATGAAAGCGCTTTCAGTGACTGGTGGCTTGAGGGGCCATCGTGCAGCCTAGACTCGTCACATCAATTTCTGGCTATCTATTTCGGTTTCAATAACACTGCTAGAGAATTCGAAAAACTCACCGCACTTTTCTGTGAGACATCATACAATAAGCAAGCAGTTTCCATCACTGTCAACGCAGCGAACAAAGCACCAGACAGCTCATCCATACGATCGTTGAAGGATTCGATATTGCTTCCTGAATCTGAATTCAATTCAACGGCTTTCGAGTACTTGATTGGCACCAGTGTGCCCCCTGTTCTCAAGCCGCGGGACTATCCAGATGACATTGTACTCCACCAATTCTCACAATTTTTCGAAAGAGATATAAGTTGGCCGCTTTCGCCTATGGTAGGCTTTGCTCTCGGTGGTCTGACACTTGAACTGAGTGATCTATCAGATCCAAATAAGCTTCATGAAGTTTTCCAGTCAGCTCATAAAAAAATATTTTCTATGGCCATCAAGAATATGGTTTCGCTAGATGCTGGACGCGACGATAATGAAGGAGAGATTCAATACAAACAGCACGGTGTTGTGGTCAGCAGACCGATCGCAGCAATAGTCGAAGGGCTACTCGTAACGGTAGCAATTTTAACTGGACTAGCTCTGGTATCGTGTAAACGAGATCAAAGTTACCTACAAGAGGATCCAGCAAGTATGGGAAATATGTTTAACATTCTGAAGAATAGCTCCTTTGTCCTGGATTATTTCGCGTCTAAAGACGCGAGTGACGACGCAATACTCGGCCGGAGTCTACTTGGACAGCGCTTTAGATTGAGTCGAGAGGCTTCGACGTCAGGTATATCGAATAATTACCTCGAGATTCTTGATGCTAATGTAAACACCCCTGACGACGAACGAACAAATCCCGAGTACTCCCCCATACGGCCAAAAGAGTTACGGCCTTGGATGGGCTTCATTCTTATCACAATATTGGTGGCTGCAGTTGTGGTTCTAGGCTTTTTAAAAGAGAGGGAGCTGGTTCTTGGTGGTATGTGATGATTAAATCCTAGTAAAACATGGGCTTACAACTTCCAGGTCTTCCTCGCCCATCTCAGAACTTTGAGGTGCTTCAAATCCTTGAGAATTACCTTCCCACAGTATTTGCAACTCTCCTAGAGCCATTTTTGATCCTACTAAACCGTCTGCTCTGCATTTTGCAACCTTTCCATGATCTGCGCCGAGGCAGAGTGCAGAGAACTGCGGCCATCAAATCAACATATACAAGCATTCCACCACAATTTGTGGTATGGCGTGCGTTACATTTTCGGCACTTTCTCCTGGCTGGGGTTTGTCTAGTCTCACTGCTGGATAATGTGCTTGCTGTTGCTCTTGGTGCTTTATTCAACGAGTTTCCAGTATCAATCGAGTCAACAATTACCTTTCATCAGACTCAGTCAGCAGTCTTAAGTCGCAGCAAGATCGTCGATTCAGGAATAGCGGACGTATACTCTGGCCATTTCTACGTGGTCATGGCCAATGTTTCAGATCAAACCAAACTCCCTCCTTGGACTACTACGAGATTTGCCTTTCTCCCATTCACAGCTGTGTCTCCAGGAGAAAATGCATCATTGACTTTCCGAGGTCGTACGCGAGGGTTCGGAGTTGAGGCATCTTGTCAAAGCCTTTCCAAATCTCGAGACGCGTCGCCTTTTGTGGACTACTCCTATCTCAGCAACGGTACACAGTCCCTTTCTGTGATTTACAAGATGAGCAATGGAAGTTCACAGACTTGTATACCATGGCGGCCTCTCACAGGCACACCATCCCTAAGCGCTAGGGTGCCTGTGGGCAAATCGTCACAGGAAATGTTCAGTTCTTTGCAGCCGCCCGACCAGTACCAAGGAAGAAGGATAGTCAAACCTGATGATGGGGGATTTTGCGAAAAAGAATTATTAATAAGCTGGATGAGGACAGATCCGGCGGACTCTTCAGCAACTATTGAAGCTACGCATATCGGTTGCTCTCCTGTCTTCCGCACAGGCATGTTCGACGTAACCGTTGACATGTCGGGATATGTCCTTGATGCGTCTCTAGTTGGGGACTTCGACGATGTTCCAGATATCAACTCAACTCAAATCAATGCCTTGCTGGCGGAAGGGAACCGTCTCGTTAGCGACTCTCCAGGATTGACCCCAACATCAATTATTATGCATGTGAATAACATCGGATGGCACAACGACACGACGACGAGAGACTGGATGAACTACCTTCTCAAGGTGACCACGAAGAGCTCTGCTTTCGTCGACCCTGCTAGGAATGTTCCTGATGCCGAAGTCGTGATACCTTTGATCCAAGACATATATCAGCGTTTGTTTGCCGCTCTTCTGAGTCTGGAAATGTCTCTCTTCAAATCATTACCCGAGCCAACTACGATAGAAGGGACAACCTTTACTCCAGAGACCCGCATTTTCATGGATAGAACAGCCTTCATCATCAGTATTGCCATAGTAGGCTTTAATATCGTCATTACAACAATGTTATATGTCCGCGAACGACACTTTTATTTGCCTAGGATGCCCTCGACAATTGCGTCCATAATCGCTTACGTTGCAGCAAGTCGCGCCGTCAGGGAGCACGACAAATTGCAGGGAGACAGGATTGACAGATGTAAGAAGAGGGCCATGACGACTTATAGTTTTGGTCGATATATCGGAGTCGATGGAAGATCGCATGTCGGCATAGAGATTGATCCTCTAGTCGTTCCTCTTGACATATGTTCGACAACGGCAAGCAGTCGCAGTTCAACAATATCTTGGTTTCGGAGGCGGAAAGAGGTCACAACGAAGCCCGATGGTTGGCTTTAGTTATCCCGTATGGTAAATTCATTCATACAACTCTGTTCTCACGAAGAGGCTATACATTCAAGGGGCACTACGGAGAATGCATGCTTGGAAATGTGCAGCTAGAATGGGTTGCAGGATCATATCTTCTCAATACGTGATAAGTTGAGATACGTTCCATATGCAATATCGGAGGTTCTCGGATTTGATCAGCTATACAGCTACAATCTCGCAGATGTTATGTGGAGGATGTTCTACTAGAGGTGGATCTAGATAACGCGACCAGTCTTACCCGACCTCACTACCTAACGTTAGCTGGTCTTGGTTATTGTCGTTAGTCACACCCGCCCAACAGAATCAAGCGCTTATCGCGAAAACCTACACGCAACCCATACTCTTCCTCACTGCATTGTAAAATAATTGACACGTGAACATTAAAAAAAAAAGGATCCAGCACTTCTGACTCTTGATGTTTGAGAGCCGTTTGTATTAGGAGTATTTGCGAGCCCACGGCTTTCATCTGGATCCGGCAGCTCTTCCTTACGGCATTATCTAGGAAGCGCCTCCGATATCGAACCCATCAGTGCCGGTGTCACAAGATGGCAAGTGGCGCGGAACCAGACGACCCTGGCAAACAAGACGGAGCTTTCGCGAAGAACGCGCGCGCAGGCTTCTTTTATGGTGAGCTGCCAATATTTCAATAGCAATGCTCTTGTCGAAATTCATGCTGACAACATCATAGGAACTTTGGTGAGATCCATCCTCTATACGTGAGAGCCTTCACAGTGCTAACAGAGATCCAAGATGGTTCCTCAGATATTTTACTCCGTATGTTACGACGTGATCGAGCCTCCACAGAGCATACAGGATCGCCACACATTTCACCCTGCAGTCTTGCATGGCCACTGCCGCAAGCGGATACATGGTGCGGACTATCCCGGGATGGTTGTAGATCCTGAGAAATCAGTCCGAGGAACAGTTGTCACAGGTCTAAGCGAGGACAATATCAAGAGACTTGATTACTTTGAAGGCATTGAATACGAAAGACGGCAAGTCAAGCCCAACATCCTCACCAAAGTTGGGAATGCGCAGGGTGAGGGTAACGAGGAAGGCGATGAAGTCGTTGCCGACACTTACATCTTCCTGAACCATGTCAATTTATCAGTTGAAGGAGGCGAGTGGGACTTTGAGGAGTTTTGCAGAGACAAGATGCAGAAATGGACTCGCGCTGGGTTCGTCTTTGAAGGCATGTTCCTCCCAATTCGATGGACATGTTGACCTTTAGCTAACAAGCACAGATTGCGACCCTAGTCAGCCAGCTATGGTGGCAGCCGCGACCTGATGCAAACGAAAGCTCTGATCTGGTCCATCATTATACTGAATCCACCCTATTCCGGCTCGGCATGCTTCGATCTGCTAGACCTCGCGACATAGACAATAATTCAGAGACAAACCAGTTTGTTTTTAGTTGAACTTCTATTGCAAAGGCCTTGTGACAAGAAGTCATGTTTAGCCGCTTCTACGTGACGTTGACTGACTACTAGTATACTTGCATTCATCAAGAGCACAAGGCATACTTGCGGCCTCCGGACCTTTCTCCTCTCTAAGTGAGATCTTCGTATTAAGAACCCACCAGAAGCTTAACTGACAGCTCTGTTTCATGCGAGGAATGAGGGATGATCAGCTGGGCAGGGGGTTGCGCAATTGCTTTGTGTTCCGATGTCCAAAGCTTGAGCAAAGCCACGCATTGCTGTTAAAAAACGTGGCAAGGCCTTTTCAGATGATATTCTAGGCTGGCCGCGGCTGGGATCAGGGAGTCGTAGAAGACCGAGGCGACGCCGTGTTTGTCCGATGAAAAGACGAGGGAAGCTTGAAAGATATCGGCCGGTTTGTTTTACTAAGAAGCGCGAAGACACGTTACCTCTGTCATTCTATTATTGCAGACTATGTGTTCTTCTTTCCCTAGCAATTGAGTCGAGTATTCTTGACCCTACTAGGAAGCCACGAAGGAATCTGGAGAATGCCTGAACAAGCATCACTTGTTAGGGATCCTGGTGTAGATCACGATATCAGTGTGGGAGGTGAGGTCCTGGAGAAACTCTGCGCCACACTCCTTCATTACAGGTCCCGTCCCTCACAGACGTCTCGTACGCACTGTCCATACAAATTTCCGATCCTCATGCCTGAGTGCGATGTTATACGGCTCGCTAGTCTTTAGACTTGGTAAGGGGCAAAGCAACTGCGAAGCTTAGACTGCGTGTCCACTGTTAGGCAGGGCCTTGTGGTCCACGGCCTCGTGGTCAAGTTTGGCTGCAGGTCGGGCCGCATGGCCCAGTGACAGCTGGCAAGCTGGGAGTGGCAGTTGAAGCTATCGTGGCCCGCAATAAGCGCTGCACCCATAGAGGACTGGATGTGACCAAACCGACTTGATTCACACATGTTTTCACATAGCAAATCGCATGGCAGCTGGTCTGGCCGTCCAGAAACAATGAAAAAACGTGATGGTGCTCTTCACGTCTGTATCTGATCTGCCTTGGATCAGTGCAACGCCAGGCGGGAGGGAAGTACATGGCGAGTGCGAGACGCAAAAGTATTCGTCACCTTAGACAGCTGGTGAAACTGGGGCTAGTTTCACCATTCCGAGAAGGGACATGGCATGCTGGTGCATAGAAGTGGCCATTCGGCTACACCCCAGCCCCCTGCGTGAGCCGCTAAGTCACCTACCACGATTGATTCGCCGCAATTGCTCCCTGCTGAACTGTGGCTCCTCAGTCCACGACTCGGCCTCAGCGCATTCCTCGACCAAGAGTGGCCAAAATGCATTCGCCCTTGACGCCGCTAAGAGCTTCTCGTCCAGCATCCCGATTACTACTGGACCTAGAGAAGCTGAAGATGCTCGCCTGGCTCGATTATGGACTGCGCAACTGAAGGCCTGACCCTGCGACTCACTGGACAGTCCATACTTACCAGGAATGCTACGGGATCAGCGATCGTGTGCATGACCAGTAAAGTGCTGGTGTGCGCTCAATGCACGAGAGCCTTTGGGGACGCGCCTTGCCACATCATGTGCCTTTTAGTTCCCGCTGGAAGGGCGATACACCGTCTTTTCTCTGTCTGCGAAGCGCAAGAAAGAGAAATATGGTTGGATGGCCTCGGTCATGGACATATGCTTAGCAGGTTCAAGCTACCCCTCTAGGCGACCCCTGACGTAGCTAACCAGGGATAAGTGAGACCCTTGAGAGAGCCCCTGGCATCCCAGCAAAACCCAGCCTCCCGGCATTAGTCTTCTCGTGGCCCCTTTTCGACGATCCTTCAGACTTTAGCGTACCGAGCTTACCTAAACCCTGCATCGCTTCAGAAGAATTAGGCTCTTTGGACAACGTTGCACCGGCCTGGCCTGCTGGCCTATTGCCATATGCGCTGCGACTCGACTCGAGTCTGGGTCCCAGGAAACCGAGCTGAGAGGCCGCGGCCGACCTTAGCATTGGCCGTCTCCAAGATTCTAGTCTTCTCATGGAGGCCGCCTTGCCTCAATCATGCGTGTTAAAACATTTTGTTTCTTGGTCAGGGACACCCGGCCGATATAGCTCTGTGTTGGGTTTCCGGCCCACCGAGATGTATATCACGTTCTAGCAAGCGCTACACGTGTATACCGGTTAACTCCTGAACGATGCTCTATCTTTGACCTCAAGTGCATACAAAGGTAGCATTGGTGTGCAGTCTCTCCTATCGTCTGCACTTCGGTGTGGGGAAGAGCCTCTGTGAGGCTACCGTACACAGCAGATCCCCGCCTCCCAAAACGGATCTAGTCAGGGGTGTCGCAGCGAACGGATGCAGATGCAGAGGCGGGACTTGGCTCCCGTTCAGGTACGTCCGATCCCTCACCCAGTAGAAAAGAAAAATCCCTTCCCTTGTGGCATTTCGAAACAAACCGGCTCGACTCAAGTTAGCCTATCAGAGATATGGAACCAGCTTCCCCTGTGTTCACCTCCTTGCCCTTGACTCCTTGAGTCGATCCATCATGCCTCGCATCTTCGGGGGCTGAGGGCGATGGCTCAGCTCTACTGGCTGGGTTCTACAACGCCATCCGAGAGCAACCCTGTTCTGGGCTCAACTAGATATCTAAGTGGATTCCTGTTACGTTCTCTCTTGAGGTTTGCGTTCTATCCCCATCTTCCTCCATCCAATCACTCCTGGGTTAGCGCTTGTTCCTGCAGCTGTCTTTCTTTCGTTGCCTTCTTAGCTGCAGCTACCCCTTTCACGATCTAGCCTCCACGGTCTTTACCTCTCTATAAGAGATTCCCAGGTCCAAGCCAGACCTTTCCCTTCGTTCTACAACTCTGTCCAAACGACGACTTGAGCAGCCACGTTCATTCATTCGAGGCTAGACCTTTCCCTTGTTTCTTTGAATTCCTAACCCGCCTGGAGCATTACCTTCCTTTTTGGACCAGCAAACGTTGTGATATTGTCGATTGTACTCGAACAACGCAAGTCAATTAGCATATCCCACACTAGCAGACATTCTCTACGACTCAAGGGAAGTCCATAGACGTTCGGAAACCAACTCGTCTGGAACGAATACTTTCGAACGACACACTCTTTGAACAAGATGTTCTCACAGAAGACTTTGATCGCCGCTTGCGGCTTTGCCAGCGCTGCCTCTGCGCACATGCTTATGGGTAGTCCTGCCCGATTCACCAGCCCGGCCGCTCACAATGGTCCTTTGGCGGCAGATGGAAGTGATTTCCCATGCCAATTGGTTGCTGGGGGCTCTTACGCCGGCGCAGCAACTCAGATGGCTCTGGGATCCACGCAGCCACTCACATTCATCGGACAAGCTACCCATGGTGGTGGTTCATGCCAAGTTTCGATCACGTATGACACTGCTCCGACAAAAAATAGTGTATGGAAGGTCATCCATTCTATTGAAGGTGGCTGTCCAGCCCAGAACACTGCAGGTAACATGGGCGATGATGCTTCGGCCGCGGATCCTTTCACGTACAGCTTTCCTATTCCCGACAACATTCCGACTGGCAATGCCACCGTTGCATGGACCTGGTTGAATAAGATTGGCAACCGTGAGTTCTACATGAACTGCGGCGCGATCGAATTGACGGGAACTTCGGGCGACGAGTCCAACTTCAACGCTCTTCCGGATATGTTGGTTGCCAACATTGGCAATGGCTGCACTACCAAAGAGGGATATGACTACACATACCCCAATGCTGGTGACTCCGTCGAAAAGCTGGGTTCTGGACCTTTCACTGAGCCACAGGGTAGCTGCGGCGCGACTGGTTCGGGATCTGACTCTGGCTCTGGGTCCGACTCCGGTAGCTCGCCTACCACCGCTGCGGCCGCTGCTCCATCCACATCTGCTGGTCTTCCAGGCGGTGTTTTTGTGACTGTCTCGAGCGCTGCGGCGGTATCTACCCCAGTCGTTGCATCCACTCCTGTTGCATCCGTCCCAGTCGCCTCGACTCCACTTGCGTCCACGCCCGCTGCAGCTTCATCTGCAGTTGCCAGCGCAGCACCGTCGAGTGGCTCGGGCAGTGATTCCGGCTCTGGCCAGACCGTTGGCGCTGGTACGGCTGGTCTTGAGACTGCTGGCAGTGCTTGCAGTCCTGAAGGTCTGTGGAACTGCCTGGGCACCCAGTTTCAACAATGTGCCAGCGGCGTGTGGTCCGTCGCGCAATCCTTGGCTGCCGGCACCTCATGCACCATCGGGCAGTCTGCCGCCATCGACATCACAGCGTCAAGCGGAAAGAAGAAGCGCGTGGCTGTTCGATTCCGAGGCTAAATGCGCTCTAGCCGTTTCGGACGCTGTATTTATATGTCACTATCTTCTTTCTTTTCTCGCACTATATGGGGCATTACATCGGTAACAAATATCACATGCGGTGGAGGTGCATGTACCGGTAAAGGGCATTTCGGCGCACTCATGGGCTTCTGTGCATACCCGGCAATTTTCTGCCAATTCACTTCTGTTACAATTGTATATAAACTTAAACCTTTTTAAGGGAAAGGTCGGCTTTAAAGTCGGTCCCCTGACTGTCTTGGACAGACATTAAAATCTTGGATAAAGATTCCAAAAAATACATCGCCTTCATTTGGCAATCTGTTGCTATTTCTAATGTTCTGCTGTGTGAATATTCCAAATGTTCTGTTATTACTATGTAAGACCGCTTAATAAGGTAGACTGCTATCGTATTGAACTAAAACGTACCTAGCTAGGTAGGCTCTAAGACATGGAATGTATCTAAGTGATTCTGGGTGTTTTGTTGAATACCAATGAACAACAATCTAATTGCGTGTTTATAAACTCTTATGATATGTTTGTCATCTCTTAGGTCTACACCTCGAACTTTCTTTCGGTCTTGAAGAGTTGGAGAAGCTGATCTTATCAGATTAGACGACTGCCCAGGTGGTACCTAACCGTCAACCTGGAATTGATTGGGTTAGCCCGACCTTGAAGGCACACCCCAGTACGTACCTGAGACTAATCCATATCAGGTTTAAGGCAGCCGCGCCAAGCCCCGGACTATCATACTTCCTCCCCTAGCGCATTTTGATTTTGGCGACTGGTGCCCCCAGCTTCGCGGTTTCCCAAAATTTCTGGACCGTGTTGCTAAGGTAGCCTTGGAGAGAGGCTGCATCTTCATTCAAGCTTCATCGTGATACCCCATCTTGCGACTTCATTTTCAGAGCCCACAAGCTCCCACTTGACTCATTTGGGCGCAAAGAATTCTTTTCTTGTACTTTCCCTTCATTCTGAGTCAACAGAATTTTATTTGTAAGGCCTACATTCTAAATTATACCTTTGGAAATAGCGAAGCCTCGCGCTCGTTCTAGCAGCGTACTGACCTTTGCGATGCAGCTCCTCCATTCCCCAACTTCCACCACGAATCAGTCTGCATGATCACGAACGACCCCGGCGCTTGCCGCAGATAACGCGGCGATGACGACACACATCATTGAAGATGTCGTGAAGCGACTGAGCACTCCGGAAACGGGTATGCCAAATCTTGACTGCCCCTCATCGTCTTGATACTAACCTCGAAAAGAGCCAAAACTCAAGGTTGAAGCCGCCATCACCCTGCGCGACAGCCTGGACCACTACACTACCGGTCCTACATACCCATTGTTCTTGAAGAAGCTAATGCCCATCTTCATCAACATCCTACGAGGCGCTCCCATCTTCCACAGTACCTCCAATGAGCAGGTAAGACAACCAACAATCAGGACACTGTCAAGGCTGTACTAATAAGATATTGTAGAAACTCCGGAACTGTGTCCTCGAGATCCTTCATCGGCTACCTACAGCGCCATCGCCCCCCGAACCTTTCGAGCCATATGCCGAGGAGATTGCGGATCTGTTGATGGGCCTTGTGAGGACCGACAATGAAGATAATGCAACATTATGCGTCAAGATAGTGTCCGATATCATGCGCCATCAGCACAAGGTTCTGAATGGGAAGGTACAATCCTTCTTGACCTTGATTCAGGAGCTCTTTGAGCAGATGGAACGCGTTGTGAGGGAACAACTGGATAATGCGCCTGCTCCAGGCGCGTTGCCAGGCGCCCCTTCAACTCCTGGCAGCTCTCAAACGAACTTCCAGCATCAATCCCCACGTCCTGGTTCACCAACTGCGACAACCACAGATTTTGGTGTTGACCAACCCACCGCCCGACCATTATTGAAAGGAATGCAGTCCTTCAAGGTTCTTTCCGAGTGTCCTATAATAGTGGTGTCTATTTTCCAGGTTTATAGGCAGACAGTGCCCCAAAATGTCAAGCTCTTTGTGCCTCTGATCAAGGGAGTGCTGTGTCTCCAGGCGAAAGCTCAGGAGCAGGCCCACTTGGACGCCGCAGCTAAGGGAACAGTTTTCACCGGTGTCAGCCCAGCTATCAAGAACAGAGCAGCATTTGGCGAGTTCATCACAGCGCAAGTGAAGACAATGAGCTTCCTGGCATACTTGCTGCGACAATATTCCCAGCAGTTGACTGATTTCTTGCCGACGTTGCCCGAAATTGTTGTGCGCCTCCTTAAGGATTGTCCTCGAGAGAAGTCCAGTGCGCGGAAAGAACTCCTCGTTGCGATTCGTCATATCATCAACTTCAACTTCAGGAAAATTTTCCTCCCTAAAATCGAGGAGCTTCTTGATGAGAGGACTCTGATTGGCGACGGTCTGACGGTCTACGAGAATATGAGACCCCTGGCCTACAGCATGCTTGCCGATCTGATTCATCATGTGCGCGATTCTCTTCAGCCAACCCAGATTCGTAGGACTGTCGAGGTCTACACAAAGAATCTGCAGGATAACTTTCCGGGTACAAGCTTCCAGACTATGAGCGCAAAGCTCTTGTTGAATCTAGCGGAGTGCATTGCCAAGATGGAGAACAAGGCTGATGCGCGGCATTACCTCATCATGATTCTGAACGCCATTAGCGATAAGTTCGCAGCAATGAATCGGCAGTATGACAATGCTGTCAAATTGTCTAAGCTCAACAGTCAACATGCTGCGGATCAGGTCCCAGAGACCTACCTTGCAGACAAGGATCACCCACCCGACTGGGATGAGATTGATATATTCAACGCTATGCCTATAAAGATATCCAATCCACGAGATCGGGGCGCTGATCCGGTCGTGGATAACAAGTTTCTCTTCAAGAACTTGATGAACGGACTTAAGAACTTGTTTTATCAGTTGAAGAGCTGCAACCCTCCGCAAACAGTAGACCCGGCGAATGCCCCGGCGCATTGGCAGGATGTGTCGTACGGCTTTTCGGCCGAGGAAGCACAGGTCATCATCAAACTTTTCCGAGAGGGTGCTTATGTCTTCCGATACTATGAGATCGAGAAGCCTGCCTCTGAATCGCAGTATCAATCTCCTGTGGAATATATGGCCAATTTCTACATGGTGTCCAGCAGCAAGGAGGAAAAGGATCTACTGGAGACGTTTGCTACAGTCTTTCACTGTATTGATCCGGCTACATTCCACGAAGTCTTTCAGCAAGAGATTCCTCGCCTGTACGAGATGATTTTCGAGCATACCGCACTCCTACACATACCCCAATTCTTCCTTGCAAGCGAAGCGACATCTCCAAGCTTCTGTGGTATGTTGCTGCGGTTCCTCATGGAAAGAATCGAAGATGTTGGCAGCGCAGACGTGAAAAAGTCCTCAATCCTCCTACGGCTTTTCAAACTTGCCTTCATGGCGGTGACGCTGTTCGCCAGCCAAAATGAGCAAGTCCTCCTCCCACACGTGGTGGAAATTGTCACGAAGTCTATCGAATTATCCACCAAGGCAGAAGAGCCGATGAACTATTTCCTGCTCCTGCGATCTCTCTTCAGAAGTATTGGCGGTGGCAAGTTTGAACACCTCTACAAGCAGATTCTTCCTCTATTGGAAATGCTCCTAGACGTTTTGAATAATCTGCTATTGGCTGCTCGGAAGCCTATGGAACGAGACCTCTACGTTGAACTCTGTTTGACTGTGCCCGCAAGGCTGAGCAATCTTTTGCCTCACCTGAGTTTCCTGATGCGACCATTAGTCGTTGCTCTGAGGGCAGGCACCGACCTTGTTGGTCAGGGCCTGCGAACCCTTGAGTTGTGCGTTGACAATTTAACGGCTGACTACTTGGATCCTATTATGTCTCCAGTCATTGACGAACTGATGACTGCGCTATTCGACCACCTAAAGCCACACCCGTACAGTCATTTCCATGCCCACACCACAATGAGAATCTTGGGCAAGTTAGGTGGCCGAAATAGAAAGTTTATGACAGACGCGCTGCCAGTCGACTTCAAGCAATACGTGGATGACCCGTCGAGCTTTGATGTCAGACTTATCGGCTCAAAGAAGGACAGGGCATTTCCAGCAGACTTGGGCATTCAGTTAGCAATCAATAAGCTAACAGAAATTCCAAGGCCGTCAAAGATCAACGGTTCAAAGCAATCTGAAGCCTTCTATAAGACCCAGGCTTTCCAGTTCATCAAGGCACAGCTCAAGCTCCGTATTGGATTTGATAGTCTACCTGATGATTTGCCACGGCTGGTCCGCCTCCAAGCTCAGGATTTCCTGTCACGCAAATTTGATGCAGATTTTTCAACCTTTGAGACCTCGGATCGTGAGCGGTCGATTGCCAAGAAGGAGGAACAAGATAATGTACTCAAGCGCTTGATCAAGGCAATGATGTTTGCGGAATCGTTGCCAGAGTTCAAGGAGGAAGCAAACACATTCTTGATGAACTTGTGTCGGCATTTCGCCATTATTGAGCTTGGTCGAGCACTGGTAGACCTCAAACGGGTACATACTCCCTTTGATGTCACGGCTGGTGATGGACCCCTCTCCATCGACACGCGCGTGCTGTGTGATGCGATTCTCGAATCCCTCGCGTCTGATCACCCTGATGTCAGAGATGCGGCTCAGCGTGCAATTCAAGAGGTTTTCGACTCCGTATCAACAATCTTTGGGTCATCCAGCCTTCCGGGGCGTTTATCGTTCTTTGTGCACCTGGGCCAAGTCTTCTGCCATGGCTGCTATGAAGAAGAATGGTTCACGAAAGCTGGTGGTGCACTTGGCATCCGCATATTGCTCACAGATGTTGATCTTGGTGACAGCTGGGTCTTCTCGAAGCAAATGGACTGTATCCGAGCGCTCCTGTTTGTCATCAAAGACATGCCTCAAGATCTTCCGGAGAAGACCAGAAGCTCAGCTCAGGATACTTTGGAGACCTTGTTGAAGCGAATCACTAAGAATATCAAGAAAGAAGACATTATGCCGCCTCAGCCACAACAAGGCCAGCCACAGCAGAAACAATCCCGACTGCCTCAAATATGCATGGTTTTGACAGATCAACTTTCTCACATGAATCGTCATGTGCGAGAGACGGCTAAGCGGGCTCTGCAAATCATTGCAAAGGCGTCGGGCATGGAGATATGGGAGCTACTAGAGCCCTATAAGGAGCGCCTCACCACACCAATCTACAACAAGCCTCTTCGTGCGCTGCCTTTTCCCATCCAGATTGGATACATTGACGCAGTCACTTATTTCATGTCTCTAAAGTCCGATTTCATTCCTTTTGACGAACATCTGAATCGCCTCCTGATGGAGTCACTTGCCCTAGCTGATGCGAGCGATGAATCTCTCGCCAGTAAAGCTGCTGAGTTCCGAACGCATGACTACATTGTCAACCTCAGGGTAGCATGTATCAAGATTCTAAGTACGGCAATGGGCTTTGAAGAATTCATGAAGGGTCAACCTAATCAGCCTAATCCTACGAGGACTAAGATTGTGTCTGTCTTCTTCAAATGTCTCTACTCGGATTCTGAGCCTACCATTGAGGCAGCCAACGATGCCCTGAAGGCAGTCCTGTCTCATCAGACCAAGCTACCCAAAGACCTACTCCAATCTGGCCTACGACCGGTTCTGGCAAGCTTGCAAGATCCTAAGAGACTAAGTGTCCATGGGCTGAACAATCTTGCTCGACTTCTCCGTTTGCTCACTACGTATTTCAAAGTGGAGATCGGTGCGCGCTTGCTAGACCACATCAAAGTGTTGGCAGAGCCAAATACTCTGCAACAGCTGTCATTCACCTTCTTCGAGCAACACAACACCATGAAGGTCATTGCTGCGGTGTTCAACATTTTCCACCTTCTGCCGCCAGCAGCGGAGCAGTTCAAGGAGAGGGTCATCGATACTGTCCTGGATTTGGAAGAGAAGCTTCGTAGAACTCATCACAGTCCTTTCCGGGCCCCTCTATACAAATACTTGAATCGTTATCCTAAGGAGATATGGACATTGCTTCTCAGCAAAATCGGCGAGATCAAGTATGGTCGTTTCTTGGCCCAAGTGCTTCGACATCCCGAAAGCAAAGCTCTTCGAGAGCATGCTGCGGGCAACATTGAGGAGCTGGTCAAGGTGTGCGGCGAAGTTCCAAGCGAAGACAAGGCACGAAAATGTGTGGCAGTGATTGATTCTATCAATATCATCGACGCGTTGTGTCAATGGCCAGGTACTACAGCATGGATGGAGAAGAAGCCCAATCTCGACTGGGTCAAGCAATCTGGCCGAGATCTCGAACGCCAGCTACGTACCAATGAAACTCCTGAGGACCTACGTCTAGCAGCAGATCAGGCAGCTGAGCAGGTCATGTCAATATTAACAAAGGCACTGGAACAGAATCCCAAGGATCTCGACTCTCTTTTTGCCTTGGTCGAATCTGTCACGTCAGAGGATTTCCGTGCAACTCAGCGGCTCTACTCTTATCTCTATCAAACCATCATCAACAATGAGTCAGTTGACTTTTGGAAGACTCTCGTCCTGCGGTGTCTTGAGATCTACGCCGGTAAGACGGCAAGTCAAAAAACAAAATACTTCTTGCTTCACAATATTGTCAATCCCATCGTTGCGACCGATGTAATGCGGCATTGGGACCTGCCAGAGTCACGGCCACAACGATTGATGGACAGGACTGTCATAGAATCTATCAATAACAAGATCTGGAAAGTCAACCTAGCTGATCCACAGGATGATCTTGCACAACCTGGCATTGACCACACACGTATGGAAGTACTACAATTGTCTGCCATGCTGGTCAAATACCATCACACTATTCTGCAAGAGGCGAGGAAGGATATCATCAAGTTTGGTTGGACTTATATCAGACTTGACGATGTTATCAACAAGCATGCTGCGTATGTTGTGCTTTGTTACTTCATCGCACGATATGACACTCCAGCAAAGATTGTCACCCAGGTGTATTTCTCGCTGTTGAAAACCAATCAAACGGAAGGCCGAGCACTCGTTTCCCAAGCTTTGGAATTGATGGCTCCTGTTCTACCGAAGAGATGCGGCACAGTTCAACCAAATGACCGCAATGCCGTCTGGGCGGTTGCTCCTAGACGAATACTCGCTGAAGAGGGTCAAAATGTGCAACAGATGACAAGCATATTCCAGTTCCTGGTGAAGCACCCGGACTTGTTCTATGAGTCTCGGGACAAGTTCGCCATGCTGATCATCACGTCGCTTCGCAAGGTAGCGGCGCCGCCGAATCCTTCCAATGAAAGCAGGAAACTGGCGTTGAACATGATGTGGTTGATCTGGCAATGGGAAGAGCGCCGTGTAACCGGCAAGGAAGTCTCGCCTATCCGAGCTTTATCTGAGTCGCCAAACGCCAAGAAGCGCAGACTAGATGAGCAGAACTCGTCTTCGCCAGCTGCGAAATCAGTCGCCCCCACAGAAAGAGCCGAGTTCCTGATACCACCAATAGGCCGACAAAAGATGGTTAAGTACCTCGTCGAGTTCATTGCTCAGCTAAACGAGCGCTATCGATTGCCTTCAACGAAGACTCGAGACCCTATGGCAAACATGGGATTACCGCCTCAGACAAATGAGTTGTGCCGCAAAGCAATGACACTTCTGTACAACCTCCTTCAGCCGCAGTACTGGGGCGATCTGGATGTCGACCTCTTCCCCAATGTGACAGACGTGGTTCTGGCCAGTGACAAGACAACCGCTATTCTCGCCGTGGACCCTACCACAGATAAGGAGAAGGTCGACGAGAAATTCATCACCAATATCATCAACACCCTCCAAGTTGTTCGCATTATACTGCACTTCAAGACGGATGATTGGATCTTGAGAAATATGGCACATATTCAGAAAATTCTGGAAAAGTGTCTGAAATCTGAAAATCCGGAGCTGCAAGATTGCCTGCACATGTCTGATCCGGAATACGATGATGGCCGAGAGTTGAAATCTAGCATCCAGAGAATATTGGATGCGGTGCCGCCTCCTTCAGAGGACGTCAACATGGAAGATCCGGATGCTGAAGGAGAGCCCGAAGCTCAAACATCGGAAATTATTACTTTCCTCTCCAATATCGCAACGGAGACCATGGCTGCGTCTAACTATGTGTCTGGCATCAACGTCCTGTGGTCACTTGGAAACCGTCGGCCAGCGGCCATTGATCCTCATATTCCCGCGATCATGAAGTCTCTTCAATCCAAGCTGGCTCGAGACCACGTTTCGCATTACACTGCTGTCAGCCATCAGGGAGCCATGGCTAGACCACAGGAGCCGAATGCACCAGTTGAAATGAATGCTTATGACTTGGAGATCCAAACAGGTCTGATGCTGAAGGCGATTGATGTCACTGCCAAGCGAATGGAGATCCTGGGCGATAATCGCCGACCATTCCTGAGTGTACTCGCCACTCTTGTCGAGAAGTCCCTCCATATCCCTCTCTGCGAGAAGATACTGGACATGGTTGAGGGCTGGGTGTTCCGATCGGAAGGCACTTGGCCAACGCTCAAGGAGAAGACGGCTGTGCTTCACAAGATGTTGTCCTTTGAGCACAGAGCTGATCCAACCATGCTCACAAAGTTTTTGGATCTGGTCATCCGCATTTACGAAGACCCCAAGATAACAAGAACTGAGCTCACCGTCCGTATGGAACACGCGTTTTTGATAGGCACACGCGCCCAAGATGTTGAGATGCGCAATCGATTCATGGCCATCTTCGACAAGAGTCTTTCAAAGACTGCGAGTGCTCGCTTGTCATATGTGCTTACTGCGCAGAATTGGGACACATTAGCGGATTCTTTCTGGCTAGCTCAAGCTTCACAGCTTCTCCTGGGCGCTGTGGAGTCGAGCCCAGCTATTCAGCTTCATCAAGAAGATTTCCGAACATTGCCTGCTTCTCAGCTGTTTGGCACATATGCCAAGGATACCAGAGAGCCCACCATCATGGCAGACGACAAGTACGATGCGTTCATGGCGAATCACCGTCGTTTCGTTGCAGAGCTAGGCGATGTCAAAGTCAAAGACATGATTGAACCCTTGACCCAGCTCCAGCATATTGATCCTAATCTGGGCCATGAATTATGGGTGGCTTTGTTCCCCATGTACTGGGCCGCTACTGCCAGGGAGGAGCGAACAGATCTTGAGCGTGGCATCGTCATGCTACTTACAAAGGACTACCATACCAGACAGATCGACAAGCGACCAAACGTGATCCAGTCCCTGTTGGCAGGTGCTGCCAAGGCATGGCCCGAGTGCAAGATCCCGCCCCATGTTCTCAAGTACGAAGCCAAGACGTTTGACGCATGGTACACTGCTCTCGTTCAACTTGAAAACGCCGCGATTCGTCCCGAGATTGACTCTGCTAATGTCAGAGAGAGTAACCTGGACGCCTTAGTCGAGCTGTACTCCGCATTACAGGAAGAAGATCTGTTCTATGGTACATGGCGTCGCCGGTGCCAATTTGTGGAGACCAATGCAGCCCTATCTTATGAGCAGAATGGAATGTGGGATAAAGCCCAGAAGATGTACGAAGCGGCTCAGATCAAGGCTCGAACAGGCGTGATTCCCTTCTCACAAGGAGAGTACATGCTTTGGGAAGATCATTGGGTGATTTGTGCCCAGAAACTTCAGCAATGGGAGATTTTGCAAGACTTTGCCAAACACGAGAACTTCCAAGATTTGCTACTTGAGTGCGCCTGGCGGAATACAGAGATGTGGCAGACTCAAGAGCACCGTGAAGCTCTGGATAATCTCATCAAGGGTGTGATGGACGCGCCAACACCACGTCGTGCTTTCTTCCAAGCATTCATGTCACTACTCAAGTTGCATAACAAGCAGGAGACGACTCAAGACTTCCAAAGGGTATGCGACGAGGCTATACAGTTGTCGATCCGTAAGTGGCATCAACTTCCGAGAAGCCTCACGAATGCACATATCCCCCTGCTACAGAACTTCCAGCAACTTGTGGAGTTGCATGACGCCAGTATCATCTGCTCGAGCTTGGCGGTCACCAACCAGACCAATCTGGATGTCAAGTCTGGAGAACTGAAGCTACTGCTTGGTGCTTGGAGAGATCGCCTTCCGAATGTGTGGGATGATATCACAGCATGGCAAGATCTTGTCACCTGGCGACAGCACATCTTTGGCCTCATCAACAATACCTACCTCCAGCTGCTTCCGCAGCAAGGCCAGAATACAAGTGGCGCATCGTTTGCCTACCGCGGCTACCATGAGACGGCTTGGATCATCAACCGCTTCGCTCATGTGGCCAGGAAGCACAGCTTACCAGATGTTTGCATCAGCCAATTGAGTAGAATCTACACTCTGCCCAACATCGAGATCCAAGAGGCGTTCCTCAAGCTCCGAGAGCAGGCCAAATGCCATTATCAGAACCCTGAAGAGCTGACCAGTGGCTTGGATGTCATTAACAACACCAACTTGAATTACTTCAGCGCGACTCAAAAGGCCGAGTTCTACACACTAAAGGGCATGTTCTTGGAGAAGCTCAAGCAAAAGGATGAGGCAGATCAAGCCTACGGAACCGCACTTTACTTCGATATCACCGCAGCGAAAGCCTGGGCTGAATGGGGCTACTTCAACGACCGAAAGTTCAAGGAAGACCCATCAGATCTCAATTCCGCAAGACAAGCCCTCACATCCTATCTTCAGGCTGCTGGAAGCTATAAGAATGCCAAGTCTCGCAAGCTAATTGCGAGAATCTTGTGGCTTCTAAGCATGGACGATGCAAATGGAACCATTGCAGCCGGGTTCGATGACTTCAAGGGAGATACGCCAACCTGGTACTGGATCACTTTCATACCGCAATTGTTGACCGGTCTCGGCCATAAGGAGGCGCCGCGGGTCCACACGATTCTCCTCAAGATCGCGAAATCCTACCCGCAGGCTCTGTACTTCCAGCTCCGAACCAATCGTGAGGACATGCTTGTGATCAAGAAGAATCAGGAAGCCAAGGAGAAAGCTCGGCAGAGAGCCCAGTCTGCCGCTGCTAGCAAACCTAGCAGCTCCCCACAGCAGCAGAGACAAGAAACCCCTGCAGCGGCCAAGGCCGAGGGCGGTTCTAGCTCTCGGCCAGCGACAGCCAATGGTGAAACTCCAGCACCTGTTAAGACAGAAGGTGGAGAGACCAAGGAAGGCACCGCTACTCCAGGGCCGCCAGCAACCAACGGTAACGTCCAGCCCAAAGAGGAGCAGGCGGGAGCGGGACAGAAGAAGCCTCCATGGGAGCTTACAGAGGAAATCATGTCTGTTCTCAAGACAGCATTCCCGCTCCTGGCACTATCGATGGAAACTACAGTCGACCAGATCCAGAAGCACTTCAAATGCCCACCAGACGAGGATGCATATCGACTCATTGTTGCTCTTCTCAATGACGGACTTGCTTACGTTAGCCGCATGCCGACTTCATATGCCAAAGATGTCAAGTTGCCAACTCCCACAGAGACTAACATCACTCGTTTTGCCGAGACTATTCTGCCAGCCCATATTCGCAAGACATTCGAAGCAGATTTTGTCGAGGTGAAGCCGACAATGTATGAGTACATTCACAAGCTTCGTAGGTGGCGAGACAAGTTCGAAGAGAAGCTGGACCGCAGGAACCCGCGTGCTTCACTCGAGACGTTTAGTCCTCACCTCAGTGAATTCCGTTACCAGAAATTCGATGAGGTCGAAGTGCCAGGGCAATACCTCCAGCATAAGGACAAGAACCAGGACTTTATTAGGATTGATCGCTTCATTCCCACTGTTGACCTTGTGCGGACTATCGGTGTCTCCCACCGACGCTTGAAGATTCGTGGTCATGATGGTAGCATCCATCCATTTGCTGTCCAGCACCCTGCTGCACGCCACTGTCGCAGAGAAGAGAGAATTCTCCAACTTTTCAGGCAACTCAACCAGAGATTGAGCCGGAAGAAAGAGAGTCGTCGCCGTGATCTGCAATTCACCCTGCCTTTGATGGTTCCTCTTGCTCCACATATTCGCATTGTCCAAGAGGATACATCATACATCACACTCCAGGGCATTTATGAAGATCACTGCAGGCGGAATGCCATGTCCAAGGATGAGCCAGTCTTGTTTACGATGGACAAGCTCCGGGGCCTCCAGGATAGCAAGGGGGTAAGTCTAATCCATTTCAAATCTGATTCTCGGTCCACTAACAGTCGACAGCCAAAGCATGGCGAACAGAGCGCAACTGCACGGCTAGAGGTCCTCAACGCAATTCAAGAGAAATGGGTCCCGCATACCGTCGCTCTCGAGTACTTCCAGACAGCGTTCCCAGATTATGCGGACTTCTGGCTTTTCAGACGCCGTTTCTCATACCAGCTGGCGGCCCTCACATTCATGACTTACATCCTCTACATTGACAAACGGTACCCGCACAAGATCAACATCGCACGAAGTACCGGAAACATCTGGGGATCTGAACTCATGGCTTTCATGTCGAGCGCCAAACCGTTCTTCCACAACCAGGAACCAGTTCCATTCCGTCTCACACCTAACCTCCAAACGCTCATGGGACCCTTGGCCACTGAAGGAATTTTTAGTTGCGCCATCATGGCCATCGCGCGCTGCTTGACCGAACCAGAGTTTGAGCTTGAGCACGCTCTCACCTTGTTCGTGCGTGATGAGGTAATGTTTTGGTTCACAAGCAGCCACCGAGCCATTCACCTCAACGAGAATCAGCTTCGCGAGACTGTGCAAACAAACAGCGATATGATCGTGAAGAGAGCAGTCAGCCTTGCTCACGCCCCCGTCGGCAGTCTACCCGCCAATCAGACGGTCATTGACCTTATCGCTAAGGCCGTTAACCCAATGAGTCTGGCCATGTGCGATGCCTTGTGGATGCCGTACATGTAGTTTCCCCTTCTTATATCAGGGCAGACTTTTGGGAACTTGATGGTTGCAAAGCCATGACCTAATTGCAATGTTGTATGATGATGGAATTGTAATTTATTTATGAGTTTCTTTTTATGAGGCGTTCAGGGAGGCTCAAACGCGTGGTCGTGTCAAGGACGTGGACCACCGGCGGCGGATCTTTGCAGATAAGCGCTTATATGAGTTGTAATAAGTGTAGTTTGGAATCAACGAAAACATGATCAACAAGACAACCAATGCCTTGCCTCACTTTCCAACCATTTCGGTTAGTGACATGTTGTTTTCCAGTCTTGGTCGCACCAACATACGCCACAAAACCCCGCACATCTTCCCCATGGGCTTCTGCAGACTAATTGTCACTAGGAGCAATCCCCGTCTGCCGAGGTTGCGAGACTGGGCGGGCCCCGGACAAGTCAAAAGTCCATCAAGTCCTTTTGCTATAGATCCAGACCTGTACTCTGCATGTTTCACAAGTGAACTGTAGGTTTCGTTGACGTGACTACGATGGAGCACCAAGTGCCCAGGAAGCTCTGGGAGCATCCCGACCCCCAAAGCACGCTGATGTGGAAGTTCATGCAGGAAATCAACAAGAAGCACCGCCTCTCACTCAAGATAAGGCCATCTTGCCTTCTCACATTCTCCTCAACTAACTCGGATACAGACCTTCAAGGATCTTCATGAGTACTCCATCACCAAGCGCACCCAGTTTTGGGGCCAGCTATTTGACTCATCTGATTACATCTACTCTGGCTTTTATACGACTGTCGTCGATGAGTCCAAGACCATCGATCAGATACCACGATGGTTTGAGGGAGTGTACCTAAACTTTGCCGAGAATGTATTGTATTCACGTGGCCCGAAGGATGCCCAAGATCACCGTGGCACAAGGCATAAAGAAGACGGGAAGATTGCTGTCACGGAGATCAGAGAGGGTGCCTCAGAGACTAGGGAGGTGAGCTGGGGAACTTTGAGACGGCAAGCTGCAAAACTCGCAAGCGCCATGCAAGAACGGGGTGTGTCAAAAGGGGATCGGGTAGTGATCGTTGGCGCGAATAGCGTGGAAACACTGCTGGTGTGGTTGGCGACGAACTGGCTGGGAGCTGTCTTCTCTAGCTCGTCAACAGATATGGGCATCAAGGGAATACTGCAGAGAGCGGTGCAGGTGAATCCGAAGGTAGGTTTTTCTTCTGTTGCGACTGGTTCGGTCCGCGCCTAACACGAGTTAGGTTTTATTCATGGATGATGCGGCCCTCTACAATGGCAAGGTGGTGGATCTGAGAGAAAAGATGACCGGTATTGTCGACGGGCTCGCCGGATGCAGCGAGTTCACAGGTGTTGTATCTATTCCTCGGTTCTCACGGCCCAAGGATGTCTCCCAAGTGTCAAGGGCAGAGACTTGGGCAAGTTTTCTGAGCAAAGCTAAGGGCCCTCCCCCAGACTTTGTTCGCATTGCGTTCCATGAACCGTCCATCATATGCTACTCCTCGGGAACAACCGGAATTCCGAAGGCAATCGTACACTCTGTTGGCGGTCTGATGATCAATTACTTCAAAGAGGGCAGACTCCATGAGGAGCTAGGACCAGATGGCGTTGGGTTGCAGTACACAACAACCGGGTGGATCATGTATGTTGCCAACGCCGGACAACTTCTATTTGGGTCAAGGGCAGTGATGTACGACGGCTCACCATTTCAGCCGGATGTCAAGATCTTGATCAAGATCCTTGGCGAGCAAAAGGTGACCAAGTTTGGTATCAACCCAAGGTGGATGTTTGAGATCGCAAAGGCTGGCTTATCTCCGCGTGAGCTCACAGATCTATCAAGTCTGCAGACGGTCACGTCGACTGGCATGGTCTTGTCGGACCAGCTGTTTGAATGGTTCTACGATAAGGGTTTCCCGGCTCACACACACCTTGGAAATATCTCAGGTGGCACTGACATTGTAAGAGCCCCCAATATTCGTCGATACGAGGATAGGACTGACAGAAGGTGCAGGCAGGCTGTTTCGGTCTCATGAATCCGCTCGAGCCGGTTTACGTCGGAGGCACTCAAGGTCCATCCATAGGGGTGGATGTACGCATATATGACTCCCTCCTCCCAGATGGCGAAGGCAAGGAAGTCCCACACGGCGTGCCAGGAGAACTTGTTGCAGCTGCGCCCTTTCCGAATATACCCTGTTTTTTCTGGAATGATAAAGAGCCTCCGGCAACCCCTGGATCGAAATATCATTCGGCTTACTTCGACCGATTCAATAGAACTTGGGCGCATGGCGACTTTTGCTCGATACATCCAGTGACAGGGAACATCACCTTCCTTGGTCGCGCGGACGGTGTGCTAAACCCGTCAGGAGTTCGATTTGGCTCCGCTGAAATCTACTCAGTCCTGGAACGGCACTTTGTTGACAAGATCCAGGACTCTCTGTGCGTCGGCCAGAGACGGCCACATGACCATGACGAAAGTGTTATGCTGTTTCTATTGATGAGACCGGGTCAAAAGTTCGATAAGAAGCTAGTACAGGAGATCCGGGAGGCCATCGGGAGAGATCTGTCGAAAAGACATATACCCAAACACATCTTTGAGACACCAGAGATTCCGGTGAGTTTCACTTCCTTCAAGCTTTGTCGTTACACCAACTAACTTCAGGGATTAGACAACCATCAATTTAAAGAAAGTTGAGCTTCCTGTGAAGCAAATCGTCTCAGGCCAAACGATCAAAGTGAGCGGTACATTGGCGAACCCGCAAAGTCTGGATTATTATTACCAATTCGCACGAGTAGAGGAGTTAGTTGGGCCAAAAGAAAAACTCTAGAGCTAGAAGTGAGTTAGACAGGTGAACCAAGATGTGTCTATTTGTCCAGATCTACAATTCCTTCTGTATTCTATATCCTCACATGCCCCTTTGCTTTTTGTTATGTGCCAATCTTAAGTACATTTAGTTATCGTCCCTCCTGGCTAGATTAGAGTGAAGCTTATGTTGCTTCATTAGTGAGATGGAAATTAGACCAACCACAGACAGCCCTATGATGGTTACCCATACGCCCCTGAATGCCTCCATGAAAGAAGCGATGACTCCTTCCTTCCATCCATCTGGCAGGTGCTTCAGCTCACTTAGATCATCCCGGATCCTGGAAATTTCCTCCGCAGCACCAGGCAATGATCCGAAGCGGTCATTTAATCGATTGTTCAGAATGTTTTGGTACACGGTAGACGCAACGGTAACACCGACAGTGGCTCCGACTGATCGGAAAGCGTAGGTAGCACTCGTAATGACAGCCTGCTGGGAATGATCCACAGAGGCGATGCATGCAAGCATTGTTACAGTCAACATGCCTCCATAGCCGCTACCACAGAGCAGGAACGAGAGGAACGGAACCCACTCTGGCGAGTTCTCGTCCAAGGTCGAAACGACGATAGCACCAGCAAGGAAGCAGACCATGACGAAGGTGCCCAGGCGAACATACCGCCCCGTCCGCTTCATGACATATCCACTGCCAAAGGATGCAAAAGAGACGCCGAAGAAGGGTAGAGCGATGCGCATTCCAGCCTCGGTGGCGGAAAATCCGCGGACCTGGAGGTAGAGCGGAACGTAGAAAACACCAATGATGTTGGCCATTGTAATAACAAGATTTGTCAAGCAGGCCATGAATACCGTCCGCGTGACGAGTAGACGAACCGGGATGATAGGCTGCTTCGACCGGGCCTCCCAGATGACGAAACCAACAAGAAGAACGAAGGACAATGGCAGTGTGGTGAGTACGAGGGGGTGTGTCCAGGGTACCAGGTTGCCTCCAGCGTTGAGGCCGAGTAGAAGGACCACGAGGAACGCCACGGTAAGGAAGGCACCGGTGAAGTCGATTCTCGTCAGATACGATTTGTTTGACGTTTTAGGTGGGACCTTGACGAGGAAGAACACGAGGAGTCCAGAGACGATGATAACAGGCACCTGCACCAGGAATGCAAGTCTCCATCCCAAGCGCGTATGATCATTGATAAAGCCGCCGAAGACTCCGCCGACCATGGCTCCAGTACCGTAGCAAATGTTGCCAACTCCTTGAACCACGCCACGCTTTCGCAGTGGCACGAGATCAGAGCCTAGGAAAGTCGAAATCGACATGAGCCCTCCTCCACCAATGCCAGCCACGACTCGGCCGAGGATCATGACACCGTCGGTTTGCGCAAGTCCGCAAATCAGGTTTCCCGCAGCGAAGAAGATGTTGCTGAAGACAAGGCCGGGACCCCGGCCGAAGATGTCAGTCAGACGCCCAGAGATAGGCTGGCAGGCGGCATTGGCGATAAGGTACGCCGTCGCCAGCCATGACATCAAACTGAGCGACTTGAACTCGCTCGAGATGGGCGCCGACAGAGTGGCGATGATGGTAGAGTCAACAGCACCAAGGAAGACGCCAATCCAGGAGGCACTCAAAGTGAGCCAGAGTTTCCATCCGGTCACCTCGTCGGCGAGGATCGTGTGCTCCTCATCCTGGACCGCGGAGGTGCCGTTCTGCTGTGCCTCCGCACTGTCGCCGTTTGCCGGCTTCGGTTGGCCGTTCAGCAGCGGCGTCCTCTCATCCTGGAACTCCTGTGCCACGCGGAGGGCATCCGCCTGCCGCGGATCGACAATCTCGTCTTGCGGTCCGCTTGAAACCATCTTGCTACCAATTTCCCCGCGGAGCCAGACGATAACTCTTGAAAGCGGTCGTGCAGGTGGGTGAGTCAAACTCCGCTTGTGTTTCAATTGGCTAGCTCCTCCCAGCTGTCCACCAAAGAAGCCCTGAAGAAGATGCGTCGCGGCTGCTCGTGCGCAAGGCTGTTCTTGGAGTCTTTATAGTTTAGGGATTAGAAAATTGTGACTGGTCTAATTATTGCGCCATAATTTTGTCGTACGGTAGGTAGCACGGTAGCGTAGATAAGAGGAGAATTCGGCGATCAATAGCGAGTACCGATCCGACTTCGGGCTTTCCGGGTTCGTCTTAGACAGACGCGACCACATGGCTCCTCCGCGCTGATCTCCGCCGGTGCCAGCCGAAGCTCATTAGTCGATATTCACTATGCCACTAAGAGAGCATCGCATCGTCCGTCCAGGCAACTCGGTCTACTGCGGTAAGCATCTTATAGGAACGTCAGCTTATAAGATTGGCTCAAGAGCCTCAATCAGGTGGTTCCGAGTGCTCTCGCATCTCGATAGCCTCATCAAGACACGTAAATGGAGAGATGTAAACATTAGGTTACGTTGTCTCATTTGCCGTTGTCTTCACGTCGCAAGTGCATTGCGCGCTACTATCTACTTATACAATTCTGCTTTTCCGAGCGTGCCTCGCCCTGTACCTGCTTCCCTGTCATGGCCACATTGCATGTAGCTCTGATGCATCATACCGATCCTGACGCCGAAAATGCATATGTTACGATCCTCGAGATACCTGTGCAACTCCCTGAATAACCGGCATTCAATCATCATCAGTCATTTCCATCATGCTGCTCTCGCCTTTGTCGCCAACACCGCGACCCAGTGGGTGGCCTTCCGGAGCCGCAGGCTCCTTGCCTTTTCCCTGAGGCTTCGGGCCGTTAAGCTTGCTTGTCAGCTTCACCTTGGCATTAAGCTTGCGCTGGTTCAGCTCCTTCTCAAATGCAGCTTCCGTCTCGTCGTCAATCTCACCGATGATCCGTCCAGAGCTCTCGTCGAGGGCCTTGTTCAAGAGCTCTGTGGCAATTGGATCCTGTGGGTGAATCGCAAGTGCCTCATGCAAGACATTGACTGCCTCCTCGGGTCTTCTGAGCTCGAGGTAAATCAGACCCTTGGCGCAGAAAACGGCAGGATCCTTTCCACCCTCGCGTAGCACCTCATCGAACTCCTGTAGAGCTTGCTTAAACATCCGCAGTCGTCGGTATGCATGTCCGAGGTTGGTTCGAGCCGCCATCCAGGCCTGTGAGTCGCTGTCGATCTCCTCGGCGACCTCGAGCGCCTTGCTGAACATGGCTACGGCATCCCTGGTGCGGTCTTGATGGTAAAAGACGATACCCATCTCATTGAGGAGTAGGGGATCGGTTTTGCATAGACTGTAGGCTGTCTTGAGAAACTCCTCCGCGACGGACATGTTGTTCATTGCATGATTCTGCATGCCCAAGAACACTTGCGGCAGATGAGTGCCCATGAACAGTCGTGCTGCAGTAGAATAGGCAGAGATGGCCTGATCGTGCTCACCCTCTGCGGCGAAGGTATGAGCGAAGCCGATCCAGGCTGGCGCAAAGTGTGCGTCCATCATGCTGGCTTTGCTGAAGTAGCGTCGTGCCTCGGCGATCTTATCAATGAGGTAGTAGTATGTGCCGACCGCCAGCCAAGTGCACGGCTCTTCAGGATGGCTCTCAGCTAGCTCGTGTGCGATGAGGAAAAGTAGGTTCTTCTCCTTCAGCTCATACAAGCATCCCAGATGGATGGGGTAGATACCGAAGTTGTACTTGTCCTCTGACAAGATGGCAGTTGTGATGTCCAATGCCTGTTTGAATCTGGACTGGGTGAAGAAAAGCTCGGCGCGAGCAAGTAGCAGGTCTGGGTTGTCTTTCAGATTGTAGTGAGTAGCAAGGCTCTCACAAGCTGTGTTGAAGGCACCCTGGTTTTGGTACTTGTTCAATCGAGTGCTGTAGAGCATGTGAACGTAGTCGGACACCTCCTGCTTCGCACTGGAGTCGCCATCAACGTGAATTGCCTCGAAGTCCAGAGACTCCAGAAACTCCCATTCCTCCTCAGCAGATAGCAGCTTGTTCTTAGTGAGCTGGTTGAAAGCCTCGAAGCACTGAACGTCAATGCGCACAGCATCCTTGTAGCACTCTTTGGCTCGATCGAAGGCATTCTGCTTGGCATAGCAGATGCCCCGCAAGTAGCACATGCCTGCCTCATAGCGTCTGTTATTCGCCTCTTCGTCGACATCGGCATCACGGGAACCCTTAGATCCAGATGCCTTGCCTTGCTCAGCAGCCCGTGAGGAGCTCGGCTGGGCCTTGCGCTTGTTGGCATCCTTGGACTTGATGAGGTAGGTGGGGTTGCGCTCTCCCAATACATCGAGAGCCTCCTCGAATCGTGACTGCTTGACCAGACAATGGCCAGCTAGGTATCGGCACGAGGGGTTACGTCTGATGAGATCGCGATTCTCGAGGAATTTCTGTGCTCTGGTGTAGTTACCGGCGGCGAAGTGGACTTGCGCCAGCCAGAAAGCGTCGTAATCGTCGTCTGTAGAAGGCAGGAATTGTCAGCACAATCTCAGATCCAGATCTAACACTAATAGAGGAAAAAAGAAAACAGACTTGTGAGGGCCAGCAGCTTGTCGCCGATGAAGATGGCAGAATCGTACTGGGCCTTGTTCAGAGCATCCTGGCGCCAGTCGCGCAGGAACTGCTCCATCTTTGTGTTGTCTTCCTCGCTTTCTGTAGACATGCTGGGCAGTGCATTCGGAAGTCTTCACCAGCAGTAAACAGAAGCAGGACTGGAGATCTCTGGACCGGCCAGTCGAAGGTGTGGGTGGAAGAAAAGAGCTCGTGGTTTGAAGTGAGTTCGTCGTGACGCGTTTTGTCTGGTCTCGGTGAGCAACTGTGAACCCGATTAAACAATTAAAAACCCCCACAAAAGCTCCTTATCGTTATCAGCGCGACACCTGCCCGCCAGCTGCCCTGTCCACCTAACTTCAGCCCTGTAGCCCCATCCTTCTAGTGGCACCGCCCACTTCAGCACTTCAGCTCCTCCCAAGTTGTGGATTTTGTTGTCGCTGGTCAGTCGTGAATCCTTGTAAACTTGATCAGTGGTCCTTTCATGAGGGCCTCAAGCTCGGTCAACATGGCAAGGTGACTTTTCACCATCGCCAAATAGGATGATCTTTCTTGTTTCATCAGAACAGACTATAGATGAGGCCCAGAATACAACAACTATTGATGCTAAAGTTTGACCAAATGCTAAGCTAGGCAGCATAGCCACCCCTGACAAAGGCTTCCTTCAATTGACTCAGGCCGACACACATCATGAGAGTTGGTATGGAAGACGGTGGCTCACCAGATGATGAAGGGGCTTGTTCACCCCGAGATTCCCTGTGAGGTTTAATTTCTGCAAGGATAGCCAAATTCGCTTCCTTGACTGTTGCAATTGCTGGTTCCTCTTCCCGATTGACTCATGTTGGGGTGAGGCCAAACAGTCCCGTTTGGGATGAGGCTGTGGGCACCATCAAAACGCCATGGACTGCTAGAGTATATATATGGCTGCAAATACATAACATATATATAATTCCTTCAACAATCCCTTCAGCTCTTCTGCTTGCTTTTATTCCCCATCGCGATTCTTTGTTGAGTTTCTCGTTCCCTCTTGCTTAGTTTGTTCCTACAACCTCATCTCTTCAAGCACCAAACTTGACGTTATCAGCAAGCAACTCTACGCAATGGCATCCTCCGAAATTCTCTCACAGACGCTCTTTTCCATCACTAGTATCAAGCTTGAGCAGTTGAACAAACAGAGGAATGCCTACGAATCTGGCAAGCGCTCTCTCCTGGAAGATGCCGCCTACGAGACGGACAACAAGAAACGGGCCAAGGTACTCTTGGAGGGAGCTGAAAAGCTCCCCTCAATGACACGTATAATCTGTGATCCTCTGGTGTCCGTTGAAAACTTCAAGCGTTTTGTTCAGCAGGCACAGTACGACCCGTCTGTCTCCGATCACTTCATCCAGGACTATGAGGAAACTCTGCGGAACGAGCTCCAAGTGCAGTCCAACAAGTACGAGTTTGCCTCTCTCTATGGCAGACTTGTCAATGAGTGGATCGCTGTGGGCAAGGAGGAACGTGATGCAGCAAGCGATTACCTGCCAGTCGGCCGCAAGGAAAGCCATGAGCAGCGGGCAACATGGGAAGAGTACGTCTTCAGGGCCAAGGTGACCGACATGGATGCCATCAAGGCTTATCTGGATGATGTTTTCACCTCCGAGAAAGCCGTCAAGAAAGCTCTGGAGTCGCTTCGAAAGAAGCTGGAAGCTTTTCAGAAGCATTGGGACAGCCAGACACACTTCACCGAGCAGACACTTTCGACCTGCATCAAGGGCATGCTGCGAAGTGATGTTCTCACGGATAGCAAGCGAGCTACTCTGAAAGACTTCCTTGGAAACTCGGTGGTACTTTCGGAGATTGCAGACGTCCTGAACATGCGCATGTCCACTCGGAAGACCTGGGTTTGGGAAAGTGATCTGATCATCGACCAGCGTCGGAACCTCAACGGTCGCTACCGCTTCTATCCGGAAGAGGATCTGCTGCAGTCTGTGTTTCTTCATTATATCGGGATGCAATGGGCGGTCACCATTCGGAAAGATCTCGGTTCCCTCTTCAGCTCAGCAGGTGTCCTGGATGTGTGGAAGTCAGATACAAAACCTATCAGCAAGGAGGACTTACGACGTCGCGATTTCTTCCTCAATGAGTTGGAGACATCTGGCCCAGGTGTAGAAGGGAGTGTGCAGCAGAGAAGAGCGAGACATTACGACGAAGAGATCTTCCTGGATCAGCTGCCAAAGCATATTGCTGAGCAGCGTGGTGGATACGGGGATGACCACAGCAAAGAGGAGGACACCCGCAAGAGCCACATTGATGTGACGCAGAACTTGCTTCATATGATCAAGACGGAGATCATCTTGGGGACAAGACTGAGTAATGGGTTAACTGTAATCCGTTCTGATTTCAAGTGGTTCGGGCCAAGCATCCCTCATACCTCGATTTTTGCGGTACTCGATTACTTCGGTGTCAACGACGAGTGGATCGAGTTCTTCAGGAAAGTCCTCGAAGCTCCCCTCCGGTTCAAGCAGGATCCAGCGAGTGCTCCCGCTCAGATTCGGAGGCGAGGGACTCCCCTAAGCACCCCGCTAGCTGATTTCTTTGGCGAGACGCTGCTATTCTGCGTTGATTTCGCCGTCAACCAGAAGGCGGATGGGCTTCGGCTCTACAGGCTACACGATGATATGTGGCTTTGGGGTAACGCCGATGCCTGCGTCAAGGGCTGGAAGGCGATGACAAAGTTTGCAAATGTTGTGGGCCTGGACTTCAACCTCGAAAAGACTGGCTGCGCGCGGATTTTGAGAAATGGCCGCGACACCGGCAAGGTGCCAACCGGGCTGCCGAAAGGCGACGTCACCTGGGGGTTTCTAAAGCTGGACCCGGTCACAGGCCGTTTCTTGCTCAACCAGGCAGACATCGACAAACACATCGAGGAACTGCGTCTGCAACTAAACGCTTGCAAGAGCGTGTTTGACTGGACCCAGGCGTGGAATATCTACGGCGCGACCTTTTTCACCAATAACTTTGGCAAGCCCGCCAACTGCTACTCTCGCGCGCATGTCGACTCGATGCTGGCGACATTCCAGCGCATTCAGCAGCGTCTATTCCCAGACACTCCCGGCGGCGTCGGTGAACATCTGAAGAGGATGATCGCTGATCGCTTTGGGATTCCCGTTGGTGACATCCCGGACGGATACTTGTACTTCCCTATTTCGCTGGGAGGACTCGGTCTGAAGAACCCCTTCATCAAACTGTACCTGATCCGAGATCAAGTTGCAGAGAATCCGGACGAGTTCATTGACGAGTTTCTTGAATGGGAAGAGCAGTGGTATCAGAAAGCTAAGAAGCGCTACGAGCGAGAGCGAGAGACTCCCCGCCATCAGGCGCGCCTGCACAGGGAGGAATGGCACGACCTGAAAGATGCGCCTTTCATGAGCCTGGAGGAGTATCGACGATATCGGGAGCGGACGAGCACCAACTTCGGCCACTCAGTGTTTGAGAAGCTGATGGAGGAGCCGGACGCGTTAGATGTGGAGCTCAAGGGTGAGGTCAAGGCGATTCTGAACTGGTCAGAGTGGCGTGAGCTCACCAGCTATGATAAGTGGGTGGTGCAGCTCTTCCATAAGGATATGATTGCGAGGTTCGGTGGGCTTAATATCGTGGAAAAGGGGCTGCTTCCTATGGGGTTAATGTCCATGCTGAGGCAGAGCAAGTTCAGGTGGCAAGGCTGAAGTTGATAAGTGATGTTTGAGAGTGATACCCTAGACTGTCTATAACAATATCAAGATGTTCTACACTTTTCATCGTTTCTCAAGATCTGCTCCTCCGCTAAGCTAATAAAGGTTCATTCAGCAAGGGTACGACTACCTGCTCTCAATATTGAGTATCTTTACCCTTCAAGAACAATGTTCATCACCCCAGCGGAGGAGTATTGCGAGGAATATTGAAAGGAAAATTGTGAAAAGAACTATTATCCCTTAAACTTATAGCACTGAAGCATAATCCCAATCAGAGACTGCCAATCTAGCAATTGAAGTAGTTCGTCATGGAATGGGCAATTTTAGGTGTTTAAAGAACGCCGTACCTCCCACCACTTTCCCACCATGTCAATGTAGAACTTGGAGTAAGCACTGGTATCTCCCTCGTCATCTACCTTCCCATCCGGAAAGTGCCACGGCTTGTCTTTGCCAATGAAATGTAATATCTTGTGCTCGTCTTTATAACGATGCACGGCAGAAATGTACATTCGGTAAACTTTGTGCATTTCCATGTTGTAGGTGAAACTCAGGCGATACCAATTTCTCGAGCTAGGTTTATTGCCCGGTGTCTTCGTCGCGTCCAGGTCACACTTCTTATGTAGCAGCTCCTTCACAGGGTGACCGCGCGTACCGTCTCCGAAGAACACGTTCAGCAATCCCTGATCACCGCCGTCAAAGGACTCATGATATTTTGCAAAGTCCAACAAGTCCGTGTACGTCTGCTCGTCTGGCGTGATTAACATGACGCCCGCGTTGAAGCAGTCGGGGAAGCCGAGCTCCGGAGCCGCCGCGAACGTTACGGACTCAGGAAGGTCGAAAAGGTGGTCGACATTGGCTAGTAATAGAGTGTCGGCATCTAGGTACAGTACGCGGGAATACGCCAGTGACCAAAAATGCAGCTTCGTTAGAGTCGCGTGCAGGTCGGGCCGCCCGATCAGAGCTAGATTGGCAGCTGAGACCCCTGACAGGGGTGCCACGGGCAGTACGTCGTCGAAGAGGGTTCGCAGGCGGGCTCTTGACGGCTCGGATACTGAATCCGGGGTGACCAGTGCCACGAGAGGGTGTGTTGTGTTTGTGTTGCGGAGAGATTGGGCTAGAGTCAGAGCGGCTATTCAGGGGTAAGATGTCAGTCAGATCGTCGGTTATCATTGCTTAAGGTAGTATCCATACCGTCAACGTAACCATCGTTGGTCAGAAGCTGTGATACTGGTCAGCGCATACTTGAATCTTTCTCATGGTGGTCTTGGGCTACGAACTGTTGCATACGCAACGGACTTAACCGGTTCGGTGGTCATACTGCCCATTGTAATATCCGACAAACTTGGTCGATATGGGACACAGAGGTTAGCAGAAGAGAATTTCAGGAACTCAATAAGATTGTAACCGCTTCATTTCTACCTAGGCTATACAGATCGAACAAAGACTACCTAGTATATATCAACCCGCCGAGCCTCGCCGAGCCATTTACATGCCAGCGAAAGTCTGATAATAGAAATGACACTGGCATCAATGATTTCAGGGGGTGAATATGGCCCCCAACGAGCCAAGTCTCACCGCAAACAAGGCTGGGTGACGTTGCACGAGGTCCTGGACTACTGGACATCGAAACTTAAATCTTACTCCAAGGCCACTAGTATACATTGGAGGCAGGTCTGCGAGCGTATCCAGCGTATCCGGCCAGATAGAAATCCTTCGATGTAGCTAGGCCCCAAGATGGCCGTGATCTCTGCGATAACCCGGCAGATGGCACACACGATGATTGGGTAATGGATACGCAAACCTTACGAGCAAGCAACTAAAAACCAAATGTTTGATAGCTCATGGAGGGGCGGGGCGGCTTCACTGGACTATTTCCACGGAGTCCAGCAGGGATAGGGCTGCGGTCTTTGTCAGACATGCCTGAGTGCCTGACAGATCATCGAATAAAATTAAGCAGCTGGATAAGAGGGTAGAGAAAGGAGCAGGTCAGTTGTGATACGGACAGCGATGGAATCTTCATATCCTTGAAAGACAGACTCTAGCTAGACTTCTAGCGTTTACTCGCAGAGAAAGTTCAAAGGCGTCCCCTGGCATGACTCCATGAAGGGAAGTTGCTCCGGATGTCGACACGAACATGTCCGGTATAAAATGTGTCGCTGCGCCTCGCCGCCTCTAATCGGGACAAAGAGAGGACGTCAATGAACGCCGGATGCAAGCCACTACCCGAGCTTGAAATCCTTCGAGGCGGCAGCTGAACAGTAAGCGAAACCCGCCGGCCGTGCCACCGACATGTTCAATTAAACGGCAGAAACCGTAGGAATATCGGCGGCGCAACGATATTGATCCGATTGAAAGCCGTTGGAAAACGGAGATGGAGTTGGAGCGTCGTTTTCTCTTCCTCAAGAGCCGCAAAGGAATAAGGAAAGCGCCTGAAGGATTGATGACTTCATCAGCGACAGCGGTCCGGTGCTTAATTAAGCCACTTTTCGGTTCCCAGGCTCTCGAGCCACTAATGGGTTGCATCCAACCGTGAACTCGGGCCATTGTCTGAGATATAAACTCTCTCACCCGGTTCTCGCTGGTCGCTACCGAGGCCCCAGCCAATCCCTTGATTGTCCGCGTCTCCGCCTTCATTGTTTATTTCCAACACGCCGGATTCAGGGAGCCGTCTCATTTGCATCCTGTGGTTGCAGCGGCAGTCCAGCGCCGGGGGTTGGCAGGCGATCGGTTCTGTAAACTGGTTCTGCGGCACTCTTCAGATTGCGGGGACAGCCAAATTCATATATCGGATGCTAGGCATCCTAGCTCTACCACTTCATCCCGATCACCACGCCTCCCATCAGGATATTACTCGTCATGCGTTTTCGGGTAGTCGGCCAGGTTACGGGCGTTGCCGCCTGGAAGCCTCGTTCCCTTGCCGTTGTCTTGGTCTGTTACAGAACCAGAGACACTGAGATCATGGGTTGATGAAGAATGACGACAGCCGCAAAAGGGTCTTCCAGGGGCTATCTAGTGATTACCCGATGGTGAATTCCCAGTATATAAGAATCAAGCAGCGGAGCCAAGAGATCTAGAGAAGTCTAACGGTATCTATCGAGAAGCTTAAGTTCTCCTTCATTCCTTTCTTGTTCGCAAAATCACAATGAAGTTCATTGGTGTACTTGCCGTAGCTGCGGCCCCCGTCATTGCTCTGAGTGGCCAGGCTACTACCACTGTAAGCCATGTGTTCTCATACTGACGTTGGCAAGGGTTCCACTGACATATTCGAAGCGATACTACGATGGACAGATGGGTGCTTGTGGCTGCGGAACCGGTGACAGCAGTCCTTTTTCATGGCAGCAAGGCATCTCATCAGGCGTCTACACTGCTGCTGCTTCCCAGGCCATCTTCGGCTCCGATGGCAGCACCTGGTGCGGCTCTGGCTGTGGCAAGTGCTATAAGCTGACTTCGACTGGCAATGCCCCTTGCAGCGGCTGCGGAACTGGCGGCGCCTCGGGGCAAAGCATTATCGTGATGGTGACTAACCTATGTCCTTACAATGGCAACCAGCAGTGGTGCCCGAACCCAGGGTGAGTCGTTGCCTCCTAGCTTTAGTTCACACATTGTGACTTAACATCGATTTCACCTACAGGAGCACGAATCAATACGGCTTCAGCTATCATTTCGACATTATGGCGTCTAGCCCTGTCCTTGGAGACAACCCGGTTGTCAACTTCGAAGAAGTCTCTTGCCCTAGCCAGGCGTCGTCTGACTACAGTCAGTGTCAATGCGCGAAATGAAAATGCTTTCATCAATTCAAGAAAGCATCTTAATCTCTGCTTCGTTACTTTACATTCTCGATTCCTTGGTAGTTTGGGTTGAATTGGCACTCGTCAAAAGGGCCTGTATATATCACAAATATTGAAAGGAGATAGCATCACTAACCATGGTCTGAATATCCAACAAGTGTATGTTTTCTATAGTTACATCTGAAGAAAGGCTGGGACAGCTCTAAGATCCCATCTACCTTCGTGGCAGAACAACTCATTCCGCTAGACTAGCTTCCAGACACCATCCTTGGACTCGATCTTGATCTCCCTGTTCTCATCTATACTCCTCCGGCCAGCCTCCAAGATCGCCGTCGTAGCAATGGTGTTCTTGAGCGTGGGCAGACCCTTCGCATCCAGGTCCTCGGGCTTCAGCTTGCCAGAGTTGACGGCGCGGCAGCCGTCCACGAACTTCTCCATGGAGATGTAGCCATAGCCGGTCTGGCCGCTGAAGTTGCCATCCTCGTCGGGCGCGTAGCGCATGTAGAAGGGGTTGTACCACATCAGCTGGCCGACCGAGTCGTCGGCGACATCGTAGCCGCGCTTGGCCTGGTCGATGCGGATCTCGCCGTTGGCGGCCAGGTAGTGGAAGTACTGGTTGGAGTGAACGCCGGCCTTCTGGGGCGCCGTCCACGAGGCCGTGTAGACGCCCGTCGCGCGCTTCCCCGGCTCGCCGGCCTTCTCCCAGTGCACGAGCAGCGAGATGGTGTCCTCGGTCGCCTCGTTGCAGCCCAGACTCGTGGCGACGCCCTTGGACGCCGAGGCGGACACCTTGACGGGCACGTAGCCTAGCTGGGAGACCATCGAGTCGCAAATATCGACGTGGTGACTGTTTAGGTAGTAGGAAATGTCTGAGTCGACACCGGCCCAGGCCTTGAAGGTCTCGAGCTGGGACTTGGGCTGAGACATGTAGCTGTAGAAATAGTTGAAGTCGCCCAGCTTCTGGGCCTTGAACCTGGCATCTGAGTAGGCAGGATCGAAGCGCTTGTGGTGCTCAATGTAAACGTAGACATTGTGCTTCTTGGCTGCTTCAATGAGCTTCACGTGGTGCTCCAGCTCCTTGACAGCCGGCTTCGTGATCATTACATGGATGCCCCTCTCGATGGCATATAGGGCAATAGGATAGTGGGTAGTGTCAGGGGTAAAGATGGTGATGGCGTCGCCGGCCTTAAGGGCGTCAATGGCGGTCTTGTATGCCTCTGGGTCCGACGCATCATTCGCCGGGAACGACTCAAACGAGGTATCCAGGTTGTTGTAGACCTGGGTGATATTCTTGTGTAGATGCTCCCCTGTCATATGGTGTTAGTCCTGGAAGCCTTGCGCCTCACGTCACAGATACAACTCACGAATGGCGGGAAACTTCTTTCCGCTGACGCCGACCATGGACAGCTTGTCGACCTTGCCTCGCCGGCGCAGATCGAACATGGACAGGCCAACAACGCCGACTTTCTTGTCCGAGCCGGAAGCCCCACCACCGACAAAACCGGTGGTGTACTCGCCGGTGCCCACCTGTGAATATTGGTCAGAATATGTGGTTCTAGTGTCAATTGAGAGGACAAGAGATCTCACCATCAAAACATTGAGAGGCTCCATTGTGATTGGGACCGTCGGTAGTGACTTCTCGGTGGTCATTCGGTGTGGCGTACCCAGATAGCTATGGGATTAGTGTATTTATTGAGCTCTTCGAGGCGGAATTGGGCCAGTTGAGGCAACTGCAAGGTCAACACTTCAGTCGCACAGGAACTCGAACAAAAGATCTCTTCAACTTTTGCTCTACGACTCTACGAGCAGCTCGGCCAGGAGGAGAGATATTATACCTCTCACACGGCTGCAAGATTGCGTACAAGCAAAGAAAGCTCAAGGGTGGTAATGCCCCGGTCTGAGCTTGGGCGGGAAGGCTGGTGCTTGGTCCACGGAAAAATTGAGGGGCACGCATGGAGGAATGGAGGGGTAAAAGCGATTTGGAGATGCGACACCGTCAGATTGGGCGGGCGGATGGGCACCGGTACGCGGGCTGGATGCATACATAGTATCTTCCATGTAAAAATGAACAAGACGGTTTCGGTCTGAAGAGTCTAGACAAGCATCTTAGCCTCTGATTGCGAGTGATTCCGCAATGATATCCATCGCTGCTCTGCGAAGTTCTGGAAACGCTAGATCTGCTAATGAAGAGATCAATACCTGGTATTTTTCGGTTGGCAGGCCTGGAAGCTTGACCAAAAATGAAACTTTCAAGATGACCAAATTGAGCCTGGGATGAATATTTCATGACAATTATCAGTGGACTTGGCAGTGTAACAATGTCTGCAGAGTCAACCTGGGATGCGTATGCGCACATTCACAGCCTGGTATTTGGTACAGTGCCCACTCGGTCCACTGGTCAAGGAAGTTCTGGACTCATATCCAGCTTCACGTCAATGATTTAGAAGGGGGATCTGACGGGACGTTCACCTCTCGTCCTCCATCTCATATATTTACTTATCGTGTTGTCACAAAAGGTGGGATGATGAAAAAAGGGCGCCGGACTATGTCCCGGGCCAAAATCCGACCGACGAGGGTCGCCCTTTCCACGATAGCAGACAGCGAGTGTTCCTGCCCCACCCCCACGTTGTTTGAACCTGGGATGCCTGCCCCGCGTTGCAGCTGCTCTGGACATGGGCTCTACAGGTTTCACAGCAGCTATTCTATCCAATTCTGAGCAGCATCTCTTCACCATATATTGCATCCCCAAGATATCATCTTTCCATCTCGAGTCTGTGCCATTGAAATCGTCGCCATCATCCAGAGCCTCTTCAGTTCCTCCTTAGGCGTCCTCAGAGAGTCGTGTGAGACCATCCGACGGCACCAGGGGAGATGCCCACAGGCTAAAATCACCGGACGCATCGAAAAGACGGGGTGCAGCCCACCTTGCGGCGCCAAGCATGGCCTCTGCTGCAGAGCCGGACCACCAACATCCACTCTGAAATCCACCGACTAACCCGACGTCAAAACTGCATGGGCGAGCACCAGTCCCACGATCCTGAGGCGGCTTGCTCTTCATTGGTGGAAGAATTTCCGGGCAATTTCCCGTCGACTCGAGAGACCTCTCTAGGGGCAGACGTTCGCCGTCCAGAACATCACGAATCTCTGCCATGGATGGAATCGCGCAACGCCCAAGGAAACCAGATCTACCAAGCATCACGCCTGTCCCGAGTCCGGGCACCGACACCGGTCGTGGATACGGAGGCGTATCGCTTCTAGTGAGCCTGGTGACTGCGAGATGAGCCCGTGCTGCCCGTATCCACCACGAAGCCACTATTCAACACACAAGGGCCACAGGAACAGGAGCTTTGTCTCTTAGCACGAACGCCCCACGCTTACACTGGCAACTATCGCCGGCTCTGTCCCCAGCTCGATTGACCCGAAGGCTGCATTCTGCGGTCCCACCGCCTTCCCTCTTGCAAGACTCCCCCGCCTTTCTGCCGTCTCCCATGCTCTCCCCTCATCATCATCATCATCATCCACCTCCTCCATTCAGTGCATGGGAAACAGGATCATAATGAGGACGGTAACTTCCCGTATGCGCTAATATACGGAACCCAGATGCAAGACCTTCTGGATCACGGAAAAGACCTACCTAGCTAGCATGGCTGGCGGCGGGCTTTACCTGTTCCTTCAATGGCCCCTTGCTACCCTACTTACAGCACCGCCAAATCATGGTCTCGAGAAGACGACTTGTGCATACACCCATGTTGTCCTCCCCCAATGATATCTTTGTCATTTCTCTGTGCCGAATAAATAGTCCTGTGGCTACCATCTACTGCTCCCGATTCACTCTCCTGCAGAACATCGGTCCCATGGACACGTTCAGCACGCGGCACCGGTCATGGCCGACCTGACTGAATAAGTCCCGTCCGTCTTCTCGCAGGCCGCCCGGAGCACAGCCTACGTTGTGCGAGGGTATTCTCGCTACAAAGCGCAAGTATCATGTTTTCTAATTTCATATACGTTTCTGTAATAAACCCTTCCCATTGCCTAGGCGTCATTCCTCAGGCACGGATCACTCTGGCTTTCGTCTGCTAAATTTGGCTGGTCAAGCGAGCTCTTCCTTTGCTTTTACGGAGATCGGTCAGCTGTACCGGGAATGTTTCTGTTCTAGGCTTTTCTTCAGACATGCGCGTGTGCGTTATTTCTTGCTTTCTATTTTCCATATATTACTCCGATATAGCTTACATACAGGCTGCCACTCGTCAAGGATGGCACGCAGTGGTGTCTAGATAAGTTGGGGCCCCTCTCTATTGCTATTTTTTAGTCAAGTCTTGACTTCCCAATCCTTCCCAGGGCCCATTCTTAGCCTCCTGGGTCCGGCACTCTCCCTGTTCCCAAAAGTTTAAGCTGCCGCAAGTGCGGTGCCTCTCTCGGACCAATGTCTTCACGAGGCAACCTGCTGAGCAAGTCCAACATTTATTTCTGACTTGATTCCGCCCCCCGCAACCGGCCTTCAAACCATTAGGTCATGAAAAACCCCGTCCTTCGCCTCAGACCGGCCCTTTCCTTGATATATAACACGTCGTCTGCTCCCAGTCGCGTCTGGTGCTTACCTCTTTTGTCCCATTCCTCGTATTCATCCCCCCCTCCTGTCGTTGCTCTTCAACCACGACTCCTTCCATCTTATAGAATCTCTTTTTTCTCTCGTCAACTACACAGAAACATCATGACCGCTGCCAACGGAGCTACTGCCAATGGGCACACGACCTCTCGGCGTTCGCTACCATGCGGTATCTACGCCCCAACAATGACCTTCTTTGATCCAGAGACTGAAGAGCTCGATATTCCGGTCATCAAGAAGCATGCTGTTCGTCTGGTCCGTGATGGCCTAGCAGGTCTGGTCACCATGGGTTCCAATGGCGAGGCGGCACATTGCACACGGGAGGAGAAGGCAGCTGTCACCCAGGCTACTCGAGAAGCTCTGGACGAAGCTGGGTTCAAGGACACTCCAGTCATTGTTGGGGCCACCGAGGGCAGTGTTAAGGGGACTATTGAGCTTTGCAAGATTGCTGAGAAGGCCGGAGGCGACTATGTTCTCCTTCTACCGCCGAGCTACTTCCGCACCTTGGTGGATGAGGACGTTATATACAATTACTTCACAGCCGTTGCTGATGGAAGCCCGCTACCCCTGATTCTATACAACTACCCGGGTGCTGTTGCCGGAATTGATATGGATTCCGACCTCCTGATCCGCCTCGCCAAGCACCCGAACATTATTGGAACCAAATTCACATGCGGCAACACTGGCAAACTCACCCGTGTAGCGTTGGCCACCAATGCCAAGACTCCTTTTTCAGAAGGATCCGGATATATGGCTTTCGGCGGTATGTGTGACTTCACAACACAGACACTCATTAGCGGCGGAAGTGGTATTATCGCTGGGGGTGCCAATGTCATGCCGAAGGTTTGTGCCCGTGTCTGGAATCTGTACGCAGAGGGCAAGAAGGATGAAGCCGAGGCTCTTCAGAAGACTCTCTCCAAGTGCGACTGGGTCTTGACAAAGGCTTCCATTGCTGGTACCAAGTCAGCAATCCAAAGCTATTTCGGCTACGGAGGCTTCCCTCGTGCACCGCTCAAGAGGCTGGACGGAGTCCGCACATCAGCCATCGCCGATGGCATCAAGGAAGTCATGGACATTGAGAAGTCACTATAGGCCTCTGATGACGTCCTTCTAAATTTGCTCAATTCGCAATTTTCCCTGGGTTACAGTCACCAGGGACGACACCATTTCGTCCCACTACAGCAGCCACCTTGGGTAGTAAGAAGTTGGCGGAACTCACTAGAGTTCACAAGAAAAAGCCAGAGAACTTGGGTTTCTGCCCAAACGTAGAGATGGAAGAAATCAAAGTAAGAAGGAGTTAGACCCACCTCAGTAGGCCTTACCGGCCACATAATGATGTATTTCAGCCATGTCTTGGCGTTTTAAGCATGCTTCATCAATCAGCCGTCACTTCCAGATCTGATTTAGAGGAGGGATTCATTCTCTCGAAAAAGGGCTCATCTACCACATGGCTGCACGAGGCAGCCTGAGTATATCAAGATATATAGATCCGATCATATGAGAATACGATATAAGTTTCATGTTGATTACTCGAGATTCTCCTGAAGCCCTGTTTGGCAACCCGGTCCGCCTGGCATATATACACATACGGAAGAGGATCCTTCTCATAACGATTCGCACAAAAGCGCCAGCTCCTTGATCGTGTAAGTGTGATCGACAATAATTCGCAACGCCCGGCTAAGATGTGGTCAGGTGTTCGAGGGGGCGCATGTGGGACTTTTTGAGCCTCCTCGAAGATCACTCGGCATATTTATGCGCGGTAAGACGCTTGGTAGATCGATCAGAGCCGCTCCCGCATTGGTCTAGCAGATCCCCGGCTCGAGAGACTACCAAGGCCACCCCCAAATGGTATGAGAAGCGCCGCCCCCGCATCCCCACGGATCCCCACGTGGCTGCACCGATGCCATATATATCCCACGCCGCGCCGCCCACGTGGAGGACGTCGGTCGGACTTGTGCTCGTTCCTCATCCATACATGCATCCCATCAGACCTTGAACTTGCGCGGGTCCAGCGTATCGATGTCGGCGCTATGGGCCTCGCCGTCCAGCAGCATCTCGGCCATGAGGCAGCCGGTGGCGGGGCCGTTCTGGATGCCCCAGCAGGTGTGGCCGGCGGCGATCCACAGGCCGGGCGTCTGGGTGCGGCCGATGAGGGGCGAGCGCTCCTCGCCGAAGCGCACGTGGCGCGGCAGGTAGCACGCCTGCTTGGCCTTGACGGGGGCGGCGGCGAGCTGTGGCGAGATGGTGCCGATGTAGGCGACCAGGTCGTCGCATTGCGCCTCGTCGCACTGCACCTGGTCGGCCGTCTCGGGCAGCGGTATCGTCTTGTCGGGTTCGCCTAAGGGGATTTTGTAAGGTAGAGGATAATAGCAGATGTGTATGAAGACGGTGTATAAACGACTTACCACAGGCGTAGACCTCGTTGAACGGTCGTGCGTAGATCTCGGGGTCTACGTTCCCCTTGTGTTTCCTCTTCTGGCCGAGCTTTGCGCGATGTTCAGGGACGAAGTCGCCTGGTAATTGGATGTCTGTGAACACGGCATATGGGGAAACATCAGCATCATAGACCACGCTATGCGCGCGCAGTCCCTCGACCTTGCTCCGTGGCAGGACCCTGCCCGTCCACGGACCGGCCGTGACCACGACGTCCGTGACCTCATCGATGGTCCGCGTCTCCTTCGCCTCGCGGTCCTCGTACTCGACACTCTCCACAGCCGTCTTGCTGTAGTTGATCTTGGTCACCTTGGCACCCAGGCGGATGTCCACACCCTTCTCCTTCGCCAGGGCGGCGATGGACGTCGTGAAGTGGAAGGGATGCACCTGCGCGGTCTCGGTCTTGCCGGGCGTGCCCATCTCCTCGTAGTACTGTATCAGGCCGGCGTCGATCCAGTCGAGATCCGCCGGTAGGGGCGAATCTTGTAGGAGGCTGGCGGCGGCTGTGTCCTGTTTCGGCAGCTTCTCCCACTGCTTGTCCTTGTCATTGTCCTTGTCGTCTTCGGGCTTTGGCACGCCCGTGGTTCCAGCAGTAGGTACGGGGGCTGGGACATTGGCAGCGTTTCCGTTCACATTGCCGTTGCTCTGTTGAGCCTTGCCCGCAAGCCTCGCCTTGATATCACGCTCCTTGACCACGGCGGACAGGCTGCCGCACCCGACCCTCCGGTAGCCCCACCTCTCGGCGCCGCCGTGCTCGGCTGCCAGCTCGCGGTGCAGGCGGTAGGACAGGGGGACCAGAGCAGCCGGGTAGGCCCACAGGGCGAGCAGGCCGCCTGCCTTACCTGATGCGCCGGCGGCGATGGCGGTGGCCTCGAGCAGGGTGATGTGGTGGAGGACCGGGTTAAACTTGGGATGGCGGCTCAGGTAGTAGGCGGTGGTGCTTCCGATGATGCCGCCGCCTGCAGGGGAGAGGAAGAGCGGAGATCAGCTACCGAATCGGAAGGGTGGGCCGGGCTGCGGCTCTGTTGCAGCCCGGGAGGATGACGGAAGGGAAAGGGGGGTGGTGGGTTGAGGGGCCTTCGAAAGGGATGGGACCACGGGCCATGGATCTCCCGATGGACAGTACGGAGGGCCAGGAGACTAGACAGAAGGAACAAGGCAGGGCTGGGAAGAGATATGACAGGTCGAACATACCTATTATCACGATATTTCTCTTCTGCTGGTCCATGGCGGGCTGTGGTTGGGCGCCTCCCTTTCCTGAGATGCTGTATGTACTGATCGTGCAGGATGGTCACAAGTGGAATGAGCGAGCGGATGCGACTTCAATATCAGCTCATCTTACGAGCAAACACTGGTAGGAGGTACGGACAAGCAGCGTCGAGGGCGTGTTTCACGTAACAAGTCACTTCTGAGGGGCCGATCTGTTTCGTTGAGACTGAGGCCGAGACTCGAGGTCTGGCTTATGATGACGGCTTGCTTTATTCAATTGGGTGGCCCAAGCTTCCCAATCCCAACCTATACAAATGGCGGGGTAGCTCTTTATCGAGAGGGGCTGCTTCGCGCTGTATCTCCTGCGATAAGGAAGAACTGCCCGGCATGCCAGTGTGCCCACCGTAGGCCACCTACCTGGTACTGGAGCTTGCCTGTGTCATGATGTTGTAGCGTACCTAGGTAGGTATAAGGGAAATCAAACTGATCCTCAGAATCCTCTGGAGTTTCTGCATCCTGATTCTTAGTCATCCAGGTGAATTCCAAATCGATAAACGCAGCGTAATCGTAATCGTATCATCCTTCTTCTATCCAATCTTTCCTCTCCAGAGCTTCACTTCCCAACTCGGCCCCGAGGGCATCCTCAGAGGAGGCAAACAGTGCGGGCGGCGGAAGAATCGAACAGTCCGAAACGGACAGATTGAAGCATCGTCGCTGGCGGGGTCTGGCCACTAGCAACAGCCCCCAAACCCACTGCAACACGCCGGAAGCGTATCGATCACAGGCCACCCAGCCCTTTCAGGGTGCACCGATACAGTGGCCATGCCAGCCTATTTGCCCGCAATTGTGGGACGCCAGCACAGTGTCCAGTCAAAGTCGGGTCTAGCGGGATAGGGGACCTCGGCACTGAGCAGCACGCGGAGGTGGGACCATCACGTCACAGGATACGCTGCAGAGTATTTGAGATACTCAGTTTCAGCAAGGGAAGCTAAGCCAGTCCGAGGTTTCCACGGCAGCGAGTCCGGCGGAAAGAATGAGTGAATGAATCAATCAATCGATCAATCAGGAATGGGAAAAGAATCGACTATTGACTTTCGAATGGGGCCACCTTTTGCAGTGAGTAGGTAGTGTACCTGAATTGAAACCGGAGATCGCTCCTGGCACCCATTCTTTTTTTTTCTCAATCGAGTTCACACTCATTATTAAGCTTCCACCCGCCGCCCCCCGAGGACCCTGCCCTGAATCGTGACGGCATCTTTTATCAATGCAACTGTCCCGTTCCTGCGTGAGAGCCGTTTCAAGATCACAGGCCCCAATCCAATCCCATCATATAATCGCTGCGACTTCCGCGTCAGCCCATACCCATACCCATACCCATCACCATCACCACCATCAACATCTTCATAATCACCAGTCGCAAACACTTCCTGCGCCGGCTGCAGTACCCGTTTCCGAGGCAAGACGTCACTATAGCACATCTACCGTACCACGTCCACAAGACCAGTCTACTGTCGCACAGCAACAGCCACAAGCAACCATGGCGTCTGCAACAAGCATCTACGACTTCAAGCCCCTTAACAGTACGTGTGCCCTTCCCCGGCGACGGCGTCGACTCGTCTAGGCGATGCGCCTAGATCTGAAGAGCTCCCGCGCGCAAGTGCGCTTGCGATCTCTGCTCGCTGGAAGAACCTACGGCAGCATAGCTCCCCTGCTCGATGCATGCGCAATCGCTAACATGCCCTCCTCCTCCCAACAGAGAAAGGCGAGGAGACCGACCTGTCCCAGTACAAGGGCAAGGTGGTGCTGATCGTCAACACGGCATCCAAGTGCGGCTTCACGCCGCAGTACGCGGGGCTCGAGAAGCTGTACAAGGACGTGCGCGAGAAGGCCGGCGACGACTTTGTCATCCTCGGCTTCCCCTGCAACCAGTTCGGCGGCCAGGAGCCCGGCACCGACGACGACATCCAGAGCTTCTGCCAGGTCAACTACGGCGTCACCTTCCCCATCTTCGGCAAGACCGAGGTCAACGGCGACAACGCCAACCCGCTGTTCACGTGGCTCAAGGAGGAGAAGCCCGGCCTCATGGGCCTCAAGCGCATCAAGTGGAACTTTGAGAAGTTCCTCATCGGCCGCGACGGAAAGGTCAAGAACCGCTGGGCCAGCACCACCAAGCCCGAGTCGCTGGAAAAGTACATATTCGAGGAGCTCGACAAGAAGGAGTAGATATGGGACAAATTTGTGCTATGGGATGAGTGTTATCGCTGGATGTATTACCTGTCTAGATCAAATCGGAGCTAAAAACTGGTTGCGGTGGACTGATGCCACGATCTGAACTGATATCGAGAGTTAAAATGCTGGCTTATCATTGGGGAGCATGGATCTCGACGTCAGCATCGATCGAATCAATGGGAGGTGGCTGATAAGACCCGATACGGGGTCTCGGGGGCAACTGGTCTTCATCACCACATCGCATCATAGGATACCTACTGTAGTGTGTTGAATTGTTGGCGCTGCTGGACTAGTCTATCTAGCTAGAGGAGCTGCCCTATCGCGGCTGCAGCAGCGTTTTGAAATTGACATCATAAGATACGCTCCTTGGTCCAAGATCCGGTCTCGAACCCAGCTGATTATCCCTGTGCGTAATATCCATTGAGCCTCGCGCCCGGATCACGCACTTTCGCCGGCCGAGTTGATTCCACAAAACGGTCCAGCCCGAACGCCCAGATCTGACAGGTGGGAATTTAAGTTTTGGATGCAGGAATCGCTGGATACATTCGAGTACAAGACGCCCGTGATAGTCGCTGCTATCGCATCATAGATGCAACCACACAGCAGTAGCGATCAGCGCAGGAACACTGGCGCGGGCGTCAAACGCTGCAACTGGCCCTGCTCGGCCGCTCGTGTATGGAGGGGGGGGACAGGGAGCGAACTGCAAGTCCGCCCCCCGGCGCCGGCGCCGGCGCCGATCCGATGCCCTCGAGCCTGAGCCATCACAAAACCGTTTTCCTGGGCGTCGCCGATCGGTTGCAGTCGGCCTGTCTAGCCGAGAGTCGATCAGCCGCATAACGACGCTCTCTTATACATGTTATCTCGATGCAAAGCGAGATCGCAAGCCGTCGGTCGTCCGGCTGTAAGGGCACAGATCGAAATTCAACAGCCATCGAATACGGGCACGTGTAACTTCACGCCCTGAGTTCGTACAGGAATTGATCATCGAGACCGTCTGAACTATTTCTCAAGCTTAAGCAATCAAGCTCCGGGCTAAGGCGTACCGGCGCATGTTGAGGGCATATTGAAAACTCTCGAGTATTAGTTCCAAGCACTATCGTTGTAGCAAGACTTACGGCATTTTAGATACGCCTTCAACGAATGCTCGTTAAGTTTTGTCATAACACGCAGAAAGACTCGGCGTTCATGCTGAAGAGGCAACACAGTACTCTACCCGTGATGGGTCATGCTAGGCTCGAGGAGAAATTGCGAGGAAACAGAGCTTCCCTGCCATGACAGCGAAAAACAGACACTTGTCGATGTCCTTCTTGACTTCTATCTTGCCAACGCAAGTCCAAAACTCCAGCCAACTTCGATCCAACCCACGCAAGACGCGGCCACGAGACTCTCCGGGCGACGTCCAAGCGGACGGTCCGATATTGCCTCACCCGCCCTTTCTAAATTTGGTATACGACTTGCATTCTCGAGGTCCAAGCCCTAGGCTAACTCCGCGATCCACGTTGCATCAGCCGCAATATATCCTCGTGCGTCTCGGTCAGATCCCCCAGGAAGCGAGGTCAGATTTCCGGGCACAGGCGACCTCGGAACACATCCCCTGTACATGCTCACGGCAGCGGCTTCGGGCCGCATACGGGCGAATCGCGGAAGCTCGCGATATTAAGTCGACCTCTTGGCCTCGCCTCCGCGCTCCCGGGTGAGGGCACTGCCGTGGTCAGCTGCGCATCCGCGGGGGCGTGTGTGCGTCGTGCGAGGGATGACGACGAGATGGGCGTCCCCGAGTCGAAGGTAGCGAAGCAAATAAACCCGAACGCTGGGGCTCGTTGTCTAAATTGCGTGCAGATTAATTTCGACCATGTCTCTTTATGTATTCATCCTCCACCACTGCGAAAGCGTGTGAGAGGCAGCCCTGCCAAGCTCGTCCGTTATCTGTCGTGTGATGAGTTGTCACCGCCCCCCTTCTCCGTCTTGAAGTCATCCGCACCATGCGAGAGCTATCATATCTGACCGCACATGTCGTGATAAATGTGGTTAAGGTCATCCTACCATCCTAACAAGGCATATCGCGAGGCAGGATAGCTCACTCAGTCCTGACACATCTGCATTCTTTGCCTCAATGTGGCAGGTTACGACTCATGACAATGCGTATCATCGAACCCTAGCCCTCCCCCGGAAGTTGCACGGCCACGGTGATCCCTCATGCACTCACCACCACGACTCAAGCTTAGAAATATTGTCATGTGTGTAGGTCTTCCATCCATGATGTCGAAGATGGATGGCCCATGTCCTGTTGCAAGTCATGACACATGACAGAACGCTAGAATGAGCTTGTCATCTTCTCGGAACAGGATCAAGACCACGTGGTTTCCTATAAGCTAGAGCAGTTGCATAGCCCAGGACGACCATCAAGCGTCTTGATGACTGGTTAAATATATTAACCGCCTGCGTCTCGATATTAGATGCGTCTGGTAGGCTAGCAAACGTGGGATGCCATTTGCACATGGGTCAAAAACGATGAAGTTTGACAATCTGACTTACACCCTTATGGAAGGAGTTTTCTAACACATCAGTAACAATAACGATGACCGTGTCGTTGTGCTATATGACAAGGGATTGGGGTTCAGGTATCGTCTTAATAGAACGCTCAAAATGTAGCTCGAAATTTCCGGGTAAGGCCACAGAAGTTGTACCCGACTCAGAAGATCCTTCTGCTGAAGTAACGTCTATCACCTAATGAGGCGTAGCAACGAGCAGGCAACAGTCTGTGATCGAGCTGACACCTCACCGGCTACAGATGGACTGAAGTCGTTAGAGAAACAGTAGACATGTATGTTCCTTGAATTGGACACGCCCATATGAAGTCAAAACGCTGTCATATATTTAGAAGCGTGCAAGGACAAACATGTGAGCCGTTATGGCATAGAGGCTTGTTCATCACTGGTCCAAAGGAGGTCGAAGTCTGGGTGGCATGCAGCAGATATCACAGTGCCTATAAGTTACATGAACCGCAAGTATTTGCTTGGGCAGATGGCAGGTAGCCTTGCGCCCTGACTGTAGGTTTGGTGTCGGTATGCTGTCACCAACTGCTTATGCATTCATAACTGACTGAGCAATGGAAGAGTAGCCTCACACCAACTCAGGCTGAGAGATTCTCTGAAGAAAACAAAGGCATATCTTTTATGAAGGCTCCACCATGGCAGAAGTCGTATTCCTATTGGTCCCAGCGCTCTAATCGCTTTCCAACTCAAGTGTAGCTTAGATTGTAACGTTCCATCCGCCAATTGGTGAAATCGGGATACCCAATCAGAAGTGCAGATTGCGACAACGTCCTGTTAGGGGTTCTGAGATCGAGACATACTCTAACAAAAGCAGCGAGTGGGCTTCTGATCCCAGTTGATAGTTAGAGATAGAAACTAGTCATAAAGTCTCGATTAAATGTTGAGAACGCGAGGCTTTGAGACAGTGCCTCGGATCAGATTCGCGACAGCGCGTCTTCAACGCTGGGTGGTTCACAACATTGCTTAATCCGCGTTCTGCAGCAGCGTCTCGTGTCGCCAAAGGGCAAATCTCCGAGCTGTCTCGTGAAGAACCAGTCGGTGAGTTCCCTGTCGTGCTGGAGTGTCGGAGCACTTTGGAATCGTAGTCTTGGCCCGACAAGGGTAGAGAACATCTTGGAGATAGGAGGCGGCGCTTGTGCGAGTCGTGCGACCGCTTCTCACACCGCAGCTAGCCTCATCAGCTCGACAGCCTGACGTGCTTAGAGGAGTTTGGGAAGAAGCAATTCTCGACGCCGTTGGAAATGGCCGAGTCGTCGAAAAGTGGCATGCCTCAGCCACCCGAGATATCACGTTATTCATGAAGATCATCGTAGCCACCAGCGAGTTCCAACCTACCACGTCTGTCAATGAACGAGCGACGGACTGACAACTGTTGACCATCTTGCGGATCTCCTGACCCTCGCCAATAGCCTGCTATGTCCTGCATCTCTTGTCATCTGTGGCTTGCTGCCGCCCCTCGGGCCCTGTTCGTACCGACGTGGGTGAATTGAGGGGACGTTTCGAGCTAGCCAATGGGCCTAGGGGCATATCGATAAAGTTGACATGGGTGCGTGGGATTGGGAGCTGGTGGTGGGCAGAAGTACACAGCCAATGGAATGGAGGCAATCGCACCGCGGCACCTGCAGTGATCTTGGGGCAGTATCCCACCAGCCAGAAGCATAGAAACCTTCTTCGGTCCTTCTAGCGCCCACGGTGGAGCACCAGCCCGCTCAGCAGAAGCCACTGCAGCGCTAAGCGGAAATGGCGCAAGACGCACGCTGGAAGTCCGCTAACTTGCACACCCTCGACAGACTGGAGCACGCTATAGGTCTCTTGACCCGCTAGGAAGCGCACTTGGGCTGGTAATTTACGGCTCACTGATAAGAGTGAAGACAAATTTTGTTTAGTCGACTTGCCAACCAGCGCTAACATACGTGTAAGGTAGGTAGGTAGGCTCGAGGTTGGGTGCTCTGGGCCAGACACACGACACGGCAGATGTATTACGTCGCAGAGCTAGAGTTTGCGGTGTAGACTGGAATGACACCCTAAACCAGTTGTAATTCGTGGCATTGGCATCTTCCCTGCCGTGAAGGATGCTGTCGTGATGCTCATCTGCTTCGTTGTCACAGCGTCTTTCGTAAGAGAATGGGGGCAGCGGACTTGGCGGACTGGAGGCTTTGCATCATGGCAAGCCAACAAGCACGCCTGTCATGATAGATGAGGTGCATTGACATGGCACGGGATCGAGCTCGCTACTCCATTGTCGTAAATGAAATCCCCTACCCACCAGTGTCGATCAGTGAGTGGACAGTTTTAGAAACCGTAGAGGAGGGTAATATATCGAGCCCGGTTCGTGCGACGGCGCGAGAACCGTCTTGAGCCATGCTGGAGTGCCGCTGTCCAACTACAGTACGTGTCTTTGCAAATTCAGACGCAGATTCGTTGTAAGACAATCTGACT